GCGCCGCAGCAGCGGCGCCCGAGCATCACGGGCCCGAGCGCCAGGCACCAGAGCAGCACCAGCGCGCCCACAAGTAGGAGGAGTCGGCTTGCAGGGGGGGGCGGGCGCGGGGGGGGCGCCAACGACCGCGCCGATTCCATCGCGGCCCGCTGCCCCTTCCCGGGGCTCTCAGGAATCCTCCGGGCCCAGTCGGCCTCGCAGTCGGCGCCGGCGTCGCGTCGCCCGCGAGCGCCAGCCGGCGGGCGGGCCGACCTTGTTGCGCATGTTTGGCGCGAGAGACCCGCGCGGGCCTCGCGCTGTGCCCGCGCCCCAGGGCGACGGCCCAGGCCCTTGTAGCCCCCCGCGCTGACGCGATGGCCTCGCGCGCGGCGCAGGAGCGGGCGCCGCCGACCGTTCGGTTCGGTTCCGCGCACTTCTCATGCGAGAACGCAAAGCCCCCCATGCTGCTCGCTCGCTTTGCGCGCTGAGCAGCATGGGGGGCGACGGCCGCGCGTTCAATGGGAAACCGCAACGCAAGTTTCCATTCCCGCGCGCGGGGCGGGGCATGAACTTACAGATGCGCCGACGGTCGAGAACTCGCGCGCGCGCCCGCGCCTGCCAGGTTGGGCGTGCGCACTGGGCCCGGAAATCTGTGGCTCGGCCGCCCGATGCGCCCCAAAAATCGCCCCGCCCCCCCCCCCGCCCCCCTCCCCTTCAAAATTCTTCCGCGCTCATGGAAAAACCATGCCGCCGAGGCGGGAGCTCGGGCCGCGGCCCGATGGCCCCCGGGGCACAGGGGAATCAAAGGAATCAGTACGGAATCAGTACAGAATCAAAACAGAATCGGCACAACTGCGACCCCTGATTCTAGCGGAATCAAAAGAATCAGTACGGAATCCACACGGAATCAAAGGAGGAATCGGCGATGGAACCAGAATCGGCCAGAACGGGGAAGTAGGCCAGAATCGGTGCCAGAACCCATGGAGAGAGGCCTTTTTCCCGCGAGTTCATTGCGGCGGGTCCGCGGCGCGGGCGCGCCGCGCGACTTCGCTGGTTCAGCGAGGCGCGCAGTCGGCGTTCAGAGTGAACAGGTTGTTTTCAGGGCGATATCCTGGCGGCGCGCTGGCGCATTGCGCATTTGCGTATTCCTGGCGGGCTGTTTGAGGGCGACCCGGCAGCGTCGGCCGAATGGCCCGCAAATGCCGCGCGGCGGATCGCGCGCCCCATGCGGTCGCGTCGACCGCCGTGTGCCGCGACGGCCGCGCGCCCCGGACCGCGCCATTCCCGCGTTGGATTGGACGGCGCAGCGCCCGTCCTCCAAAAGTCGTTACATGCATATCGCGCGCGTCGAGCCAGCAGCAATCGCTCCCAGAAGCAGCCTTGACGGGCGCCCCATGCCCGTTGTTGCCCATTTCCGATTCAAATCACAGTTTCTTAGGATGCGCTTGCGCGAATGCGAGCACGCTTGCAAGTAACGCGTGCGCGCGCTTGGCGCAGCCTGGGAAATCTTACATGGAGGCCCCCGGGGGCGCGGGGCGCCCGCGACGCTTCCGCCCGCCTCCCGCGCGCCCGACCCCCCCCGCAAGCCGACTCCTCCTACCCGCAAGGCGCGGCGCCCGCCAAGATGGGCAGACGAAGGCGCGGACGGCGACCGCGACTGGCCCGCGGCCGGCGATGGAAGGTCGCGGCGGGGGGTCAAAGGGGGAGGGGGGGAGGGGGGGGGGGGAGACGCGGGGAGGGCAGGAGGGAGGAGAGGGAATGACGAATAGGCCGGGCAGGACGAGGGATGACATAAGGAAATGGGCGTCGGGAAGGGGCGGGAGTTGACAGGAAAAGGATAAGTATAGAAATAGTTAATTTCCTATCACCCCCAAGGTCGCGGCCGACCCCACAACGGCCACCTCCAAGGCCCCCGCCGCCGGAGGAGCGAGGGAAAGGGTTGCGAGAGCAGCAGCCGCAGGAGGCGCCGCGGCATCAGCCGCCAGAGCCCCCGCAGCAGCGGGGGCCACAGACGCCATGGCAGCACCCAACAGACGGGGAGTGCCGCAGGGATGAGTGGCGCGGCAAATCGCGGGACTGGTGGCGCACCAGGGAGGGGAGGAGCGGCGCGGCTTCTTCGGTGCAGGACGGCAGGGTCGACTCCGCCTGGCGCGACATGCAAGTGGCATTCGGCATCGAATCGCGCCCCAGCGGCTGGTGCAGCAGCCACGGTGGGTGGAGTGGCGGCCAGGGGCACTGGGAGGCCACGCGCACGACCACCTGGAGGTGGGCCGAACACCCCCCCGAGACCAATCCCAGGGCCGAACTTAGCTGAACCATCGCACAGGGCCGCCCCTCCGCAGCAGCGGGGGGGGGGCCTCATCGGTCGAAGGTCGCCGTCTCCGCATCAGCGGAGGCCTTGCCAATGCATCGCGAGCGGCGGCGAGTCGCGCGCGCCGTCGGGCTCGGCGACCGCTGCCCGAGCGGAGAAGGAAAAAGAAACGGTGGTTTCATCGGTGCTGTCGTTGCCTCTTCTCCTTCATCGTTTCCTGTTCCCTCCCCCTCCAACCCCTCATCCCGCCATCGCCTTTTATCGTCTGCAATCGCATCGGGACCTCCCGTGGCAGAAGAGCACCCAGAACGAGCCCCTCCGTGACAGAGGGGGGCCATCTTAGGGCCCCTCTGTGACAGAGGGGGGGGGGGGGGGGGCAAAAACAAACGATCACTTTAATGCGACTTTTGGATTAGCAAGTCATGAGGAGGCTGCATGTCGCACCTTAAGTCCGTATTTAGCTCTAGATTGCACTAGCGTGCGATAGTGTCTAGCAGTCGCTGAGAAAGCTAGCGTCGAGTAGCGTCGAGCTAGCGTCGGCTAGCGCCGATGGGCGTCGATGCGCAAGCGCCAACACGCTGGCACGGGTGGCCCCCATGAGTTGCCGCAGAAAGGTAGGGTTCGGGTGTCGCCACCTATGTGTAGGTCTCCCAGATGGGGTTCGAGTAGATGGGCTCGGAGGATCGCGCCGATGCATCGGCGATGCGGCCCGATGTGGGCCCCGATTTTCTCCGCGTCGCCGTCGCCGATGCACCGCCGACGTTGCCGATGCATCGCCGATGCGGGGCGCGATTTCCCGACCCCGTCTCGGAGGCCTCTTCGCAGAAGGCCCGAGGCTCTGCAACGCTCGCAGCGCCCGAGGCTCACTATACCACAGACTGCTGGTCGGCAGCTCTAGCCAGGCAGAGCAAAAGGAGGAGCAGCGCAGCCAGGTCGAGGGGGTCACAGCGCCATTCTCGGGGCTCGGACGCCGCCACCTGTGGCAGGGCCCCCGCGGCGGCGGCGCGGTCACTGGAGCAGCCGCGCGCGCGCGCGCGACCCGCGCTGCCGCCCTCGGCGGTCGGAGCCCACGTCCCGGAGCCCAACTACGCTCCGAGCGCACGGCGAGGTGCGCGCGCGCGCGCCGCGCGCGCCCCGCTCGCGCCCACGTGCTCCTCGTCAGCGTACCCTTGGACGTCTTCGCTCCGCGCGCTGCGCAGTGACTTCCGCGACCGTTGAAAGAGCTGCTGCGTTCCTGGTGTTTTCGGTTTCCCCCCCACCCGCTTGCGTCCCGCGCTTGCGGGTTTTCCCGGGTGGGTTTCTCGCGAGGATTTTTCGCGGCCGTGTCCGAGTTCGTATCGTGGGCCTCGCACATGGGGTCCGAGTAGATGGGTCGAAAGATCATTCCGCATCGCCGATGCATCGATGATGCGGTTTGATGTGGAGCCCGAGTTTTTCCACGCCGATTGCGCCGATGCATCGCCGAAGTCGCCGATGCATCGGGGATGCATCGGCTATGTGGCGCGATCATCCGACCCCATCTACTCGGACTCGCACCCCATCTAGGAGACCTCTAGTGTCCGCGTTCATTGGGTTCACGAGCCGGGGTGGAGGGAGCTAGGGCAGCATAGGGGGGGATACTCTCGGGGGGACGCATCGGTCCCCAATCTCGGCTCGTCTGACCTATTCTCAGCCCCACCAGCCCACCACCCCATTTGGGGATACGCCCCTCGAAACCCGAAGGGAACAGCCTGCGTCCCCATCTAGGAGTATAAATCGGTCAGTGAGGCCCAGACCACGCTGGTGGAGATAGGGATCGGTCAGACAACGCTCACAATTTGCCGCTCATCTCTGATACGGGCCCGAAAGCCCAGCCCGCCCCAGAACGTGCGGATTCGCTATCCGTGGCATATCGCGGATCTATCGGCGATGTCTCGCCGAGTCTAGCTCGACGTTTCCCCGACCTGAGTTGGCCCCCCCCTGGGGGTCTCCCTCAAGGGAGCTGAGGCGTGTGGCCGTCGAGGATGCGGCGGGACCTCACGGATGACAACGGCACGCTCGCAGATGTTCCCTAAACGGCTTGTCTGAAAGGGTTCGTAGAATTGACAGATCGCCAGGCGAAGAATGCCGGGCCCCCGAGCGGTGGCCCATCGTTGCCCCCATCGTTCACCGAGCGCGTTCCACTACTTGCAAAGTGCCTACTCGCAAACGTCAAAACAAAAAACATGTCTGGTCTGATGCAATTTCCCGTGGATCCCCCGCGGGGGGCCCAGGCCATCTGCGAGCAGAATCGTGAGAAGCGCGTGAGTTGCTTAGGGTCCTTGCCGCAAGGGTGCCATGTCAGTTTGTGCCCTTGCTGTGATGCTTCGTGAGGCTGAGGTGCGCCGGAGGCGGCACGGCCAGAGCCCTCATCCTCGGGTTCCCCCCGCCCGTGGCGGCGTGCCGTCGTGCTCGTCTCCCCTGCTCTCCTCCGCCTCCACCTCCTCCTCCTCCGCCTCCGCCTCCGAGCCTGGCCGCGCGTGTTGACCGGTGCCCCCCACGGCTGCCTTCTCTGTCGGAGAGGCCCGTGCCCACTCGGCTGGCGATCAAGAGAGAGAGAGAGAGAGCGGCTGCCGAGGACACTCGCTCTGCAGCCTCTGGTGGCGAAGAGCAGAGTCTCTTCGGCGTCCAGCTGCGCCTGCGTTTCCTCTGGCTCTCGTGCCCTGCCCCCGCACCCTGCCGGAGCAGCCAGGCGTCACCAGCGCACCTGCGGCCACCCGCAGGGAGGGCGCTCGTGGCCAAGTCGGTCTCGACCGGTGCCCTCGTGACGGCCGCAGGCGAGCGCCTTGTGCAACGGCGGGGGGGAGCCAGCGATGCTTCGAGGGAGAGGGCCTCATCAGCTGATCTGTTTTCTTGCTCCATCCGCGCGGGTCATAGGCAAGCTCTATTAGGCAAAGCACTTGAGCACCCCAGCGAGGCAGATCGTGAGGATATCTCCAGCGGGGGCCTTCTCTGTGAGTGAATAGCGAGGAAGTCTCGAGCTGAAAGCCCCCTTCTTATGAGGCCCGCACTTCATGCTTCTAATCCGAGGCGGTCGTGAGGATGCCTCGAGCGGGGGCCTCGTCTGTGGGTGGATACCGAGGAGGTCTCGAGCGGGAGCCCCCTCCCCATGGGGCCCGCACTCCGGGCTATTAATCCGAGGCCGTCGCCGGCCCACGTGTCACTGTCGCCACTGTTGGGCTCCCGACGCCTGAATCGGGAGAACCAGTCGAGCGGGAGCCCCATCCGGGAACCCCCACCTTCTGCTGGTAATCCCCGACCAACGGTTTGCTGAGGCTTCATCGGCGAGCGGAATTGATGCATTTGAACGGCTTGATCCGCGCACTGGAGGAGGAGGAGGAGGAGGAGGAGGAGGAGGAGGAGGAGGAGGAGGAGGAGGCGACGCGAGGAGGAGGAAGAGGAAGAGTGAGGGAGGGAGAAATACGAGGAGGTGAAAGAGGAGGAGGCAGGAGGTTGGGGCAGGAGAAGGACGAGGAGGAGAAGGAGTAGGAGGAGGAGGAGAGAAGGAGGAGGAGGAGGAGGAGGAGAGGAGGAGGGTGCAGGAGGAGGAGGAGGAGGAGGCGGGAGGAGGAGGCAGGAGGAGGCAGGAGGAGGAAGAGGAGGAGGATGGGCGAAGAAAGAGGAGGAGGAGGAGGAGGAGGAGGAGGAAGATGACGTAAAGGATGAGGACAGGAGGAGGACACCGGATGAGCAGGGAACGATTTGGAGCAGAAGGAGGAGGAGGAAGAGGAGGGGAAGGCAGATGAGTGAGGAGGAAGGGGCAGGAGGAGGAGGCAGCAGAAGGCAGGAGGAGGCGGGATGATAAGGAGGCAGGAAGAGGGATTACCGAGCTCGCTATAGGCTTTAAGGTAAGGGTGCCTAAACCATCTTTGAGGATTGAGCTGCCGTCGGCGAAATACTGACGCTTGCGAATTTGTAGGAAAGTCCGAGTCCAGTATTTGGCCAAGAGCAGGACCCATCCTCAAAGTCGGAGGCATGGCAGAAAGCTATTCACCAGTGGCTGGCGCTAGGGGGGAAGTACCCATAGTCACCTTTTGCTTGCCAGCGGTCGTGAGGGAACCGGTCTCGGTGATCGCGGCCAGCCTCGTGTTACGAGCGTTCGCGCAACGCATTTTCTCGAACCCCATGAAGGCTCATGTACGCGTGCAGTCAACCCTCACATTAAGGATGAGCAACTGTCCAAGGCTACGCTTGCATCCGTGCCGGTTCCTCCTTGGCCACGTTCGTGGGCGCCGCGCCCCGTTCGAGAATGGTCGGCGCGGCCTTCCAAGGCCCCTGCATCCTTCTGGCGCGTCCTGATTATACGCGGCGGCGAGCGAGGGAGGGAGGTGAGAAGGATAAGGCCTTCTCAGAGGTTGTTTGTGTCTTCGGGGAAGGCTTAGAAAACATCTCAGAAGTCCGGGAGACTTCTGAGCCTTCTGAGAAGGCCCGCCCCTTCTCACTTCCCCCCCGGGGGCACCGCCTACTAACGGATGGTTCCCCGAGGACACCGATGGGATCCCAAGATGACCCCCACGAGATCCCGATGGAATTCCCTTAGAATTCCGAGCAGGATGCAGGTGCGGCTTCGAGCACGCCGCGGCCCCCCCCGAAGAATCCCGCGCGAGCGCCTCGTGCTGGTCGGCGCGCGGCACGCGGCCCACGGGGTCAGATGCTTGTGTCCGCAGCCGCCGATCTCGGTGCAGGCACTGCAGCGTTAGGGGTCCTCGGGGCGCCGCCACGTCGCGGGGAAGCCTGGCGTTTCTGATACAGTCGGCCCTCTGAGTGGCAGGTCGGCCCTCCCGAATCAAGAGCACCCCTGTGTCCCGTGTCTCGCGGCCCATGCTTCCTGCATTCCTGTGGCAATCTGGCCCTCGGAGGGGTCTTGTGTCCTCTCGCGCGTCCTGTCCAGTCAAGTCCGACTGTAGTCGAGAAGAGGGCTGTGCAGGCCAAGGGACGCCCGAGCCCCCCAAAAGACACGGATAGAGCACGCGAAGCGCCGTCGCTGTTTTTCGTTATCCTCGTTTTGTCGATGTCAACGACAACACAAACAACAACAACAACAACAACAACAACAACAACAACAACAACAACAACAACAACAACAACAACAACAACAACAACAATCATTTTACCCGAACGCTCAGTGTTCTCCCCAGTGCCAGGGTTTTCTTGCGACACCAGCCAATACCCCCACTTCGTGGGGGGGCCGTTCAAGCTCTACCAAATATCCAAACGACTCTTCGAGACCACCCACACCCAGCTTCCCGCCCTATGACGTTGGGACACTTCACTTCGTGGCGTGCGGACGACCCTGGCTACTACACTGGCGTGGGGTACACACCCACAGAGGTTGATCACATCTGTTACATATGATGTGGTACACGGTACACGTGAGATGGTACGCAGTGCCAAGATAGTTGGTCACATTTTTGGGGCAAATTCGTGGGGATGCGATTACAGAAGTACATGTGTTACACTGATGTTATACAGTCCCAAGGATGACGCATGCATTGCTCATAGACTCATGGCGCTATGATCCTAACTCTCAGTGCCCAACGCGCGCGTGCACAGCCAGACGGAGGGAGAGAAACACATGTATACAAGGTTCGTGACATACGCACGGTCCACCATGTTGTAAACGATCGCATGCACGGTAAGTTCTGAAATTATACGTATGTACAAGCAGACATGCGAGGGAGAAAGGGAGATGGCCATCGACAGTTCCAATACGGCTCCAAGGCGGAAGAGGGGGAGGAGGAGCAGGACAAGGAGGAAAGGAGAGAAGCGAGAAAGGAAGAACGCAGACGGCGCGGCTCTGGACACAAAGGGGTGCCATACTTTCTCCTGCTTTCGCAAACAGGTCCAGTCACACGTAGGGGTATACTCAACCGAATGGTCTTCGCATCCAGAAGCATACTAAAGGCGCGACGCATCGTCGTCTGCGATGGCGCGGAGCGGGCGCGTGGGTGCCCGGCTGCCTGGCTGATACACGTGCGGGCCTGGCTGATACCCGTGCGGTCCCAGATGCCCAATGAGATTGCCGATACGCCTGCTGGCGGGAAGGCCGGTGCTTGCATACGGCAGTGCTACCGCGAGCACGTTGTGGACCTGCGGTGGCAAGGCCTGGTAATCGAGCATGTTCGGAAGCTCGTCGCTCTGACCATACGACCGCCATACGGGCAACCACCACCACTGGTCTTGACGCGGATACGTGATCTCTGCGCCGACCTCAGGGGATACGTTCCAAAGGGCCATTTTCTGCGGGTCCGTACCCATGAAGGCCGCGTGGTACGCAATGAATACGTCCAAGGTGGCCAGGGCCCTGTAGGAGAGGCCGGATACGATCTCCGCATGAATGGGAATAGCGAGCTGACCGAGCAAATACCGCATACTGCGATACACCCACTGGCCCGGGTGGACGAAGAGGTTGGCTTTCCAGGCGACGATACCTGCTGCGGTGCACAGCGTGTCGAATACGTGCACAAGGTAGCCAATGGGCTTCCCAAGCCTCTCATCCTATGAATCCGCAAGAGCGCGCGGAAGGACATTTTGACAATTTTTTCTTAAAAAAAAACCATTGGGTTTTTGATGTTTTTATGTTAAAATCGCTACGAAACCTAAGGTTTTGGAAGGATTTCGTCTTGCGAGCGCGAATGTCCACTTTACCTTATTTTTTGCAAGGGATTCTTGAAATTTGATCAACTAAGAACAAGAATTTTCATTTTCTATTGTTTTTTGCAAGGGAAAACGAGCGTCAACAAAAAACCGGATCCGGGGGTAATCCACTTTTCTGAAGCTTTCGCAGAAAAATGATGAAAATGTAGCTGCGGCCTAGGTTTTGGGCGGGGGGCGTGCACCAGGGGGTCCAACAATAATAATTCTTTAGAAGTAATAGTGTTCAACAACAACAACAACAACAACAACAACAACAACAACAACAACAACAACAACTCCAACAACTCCAACCGATATGTTCATTGGTTGCTCGCTATCTCTCTTTATTGATCTTCACGTTCCCCCTGCCCCCCATGCAGTAGGTGTTGGCTGTTGGCTGGCGTCTGTGTCGAGCAGGCGGAGCCTCTCCACCGTCAGGGCGCAACGTTGCTGGCCCCCCAGGGGAGCAGATGTGAGTCTCGTGTTGCATGTGGTTCAGACACACCAGGTTCCTGAGGCCACGGCCTCGCCCACCTGGTCTCAGCTAGGCCCGGACGGCGTCCGCAGCGGTGGTCGTACCATATCGTATCATGGAGTAGATGTTGGTGGTTGTGTGGCGTCTGTGTCGAGTAGGTGGGGTCTCCCCCATAGGACGCACTGTTGCAGATCGGAGCCAGACCCCCCCCCATCCCCCCCCCACCCTTCTGCCCAATGTCGAAGCGCCGAAGAAGAAAGCATGTCACCCCTGCAGAGCTGGGTCTGTTGTCGGCCCTTCGTCCCAGCGGCGCCTTCCTCTCCTCGCCCTCCTCGCCCTCCCCGCCAAACGAGGGAGCAGAGAGGGGGGGGGGGGCAGCGTGCCGGCAAGGCCTGCCCGCGAGCGTGATCCTGAAGTCTTCCGCGGAGCAGGCCGCGGCGCCAGAGGGGGGCGGCGCGCTGGACAGGACCCGAGGCGAGGAGGCGAGGAGGCAGGGACCCGGGCCCGTGGCCCGCGCGGACGGCCACGGGTGGCCCGCCCGCGGCCCCGCGGCCGGCGAGGAGGCCGAGGCTCGCTTCCCGCCCGTGCTCGTGCTCGTGGGCGCCGAAAGGGGTTCGCTGCGGGTGGAGGAAGGGAAGCCGGCGGGCGTGCCCGTGCGGCCAAGACGCTGGGCGAAGGGCCGCGGTGGGTTCGGAAGGGGTTCGCTGCGCCTCGGGTCATGGCGTGGTCGGCCTTCCAGCCTGCCTCGTGCACCCGGGCGCACGGGCTGCCGAGGAGGAGCGTCTGTCCTGGCTCGGCGCGCTCCCGGTGGCCACGGCCCGGCTGCAGGCCCACGAGCAAAGCAGCACCAGCGCGGCACCCGGGATGCGAGGCGAGGTCCACCACCCGGGGAGCCAATGTCCTGGTTTCTCCTCCTCCTCCTCCTCCTCCTCCTCCTCCTCCTCCTCCTCCTCCTCCTCCTCCTCCTCCTCCTCCTCCTCCTCCTGGCTTCCCCAGCGCACGGTGGGTATCACCAGATTGGGGTGCCGCTGGGGCCCGCATCTGACCACATCCACCGCCTGCCGAGGCCCCCCCAAAGGTCGATCCCCGCGCAGGCGCCGGCCATGGATAACTCTACCCGTCTGGGAGGGGAGGTGTTCGGCGGTGCCCCCATCACTTTCCGTTGGGGCCTCCCATGGGGTGCCCTCGTCACCGGGGGCCCGATGCGCTCGGAGGCCCCGGCCGGGACGCGCCCCAGAACAGGTCGAGAGGTCGATTCTATGCGTGGAGAGAAGATACAGGACGGCACGGAAGGAGGAAATGGATACGGAAAGAATGGGCACGAAGACCGACAGCAGTTCTTGTCCATCTGAACAGGACACGTCATCGGTGTCGGTGTCGTTGTGGACGTGGTCCATTTGAGACAGACGGTCGCCTGCCCAACAGCGGCCTCTGTCAGTGTTAGACTGTAGACAACATCTGTGGTGGGGCATTTGTTCCGTACCCATTGCGGTCGTCCAAGAAGGAGGAGGAGGAGGAGGAGGAGGAGGAGGAGGAGGAGAAGGAGGGGGAGAAGGAGGAGGAGGAGGAGGAGGAGGAGGAGGAGGTTGGGACCTCGGGCAGGGTTCGGGCCCTCTTCCGGCGAGCAGTGCGGGCTCCGTTCTGGTGGGCACGGATGATACGGGCGGCGCGGGCAATCGTTCTCTAGGGTATTCGTCGTTGGTTGTGTATGTGTAGCAACAAATTCTCCAGACATGCGCCCACGAGTGGCAACTCGTCTTTTCAGTGCCTCCACAACCCCGAACAGCGAGGAGGCTTAGGTTCACCCTTGGATGGAGGCCGTCGAGCTGCGACGCTGGAAGAGCGCGTTTGCTGGCAAGCTCAAGGAGTTCAACCCGCGCATCGGGAAGGCAAAGGCTTATTGCTACGAGCGCATGGCTAAGTGTGAAAAATGCGAATTGCGAGAGTTGCAGTCCAAGGTTCTGTCGCGGGATGGGTGCCCGAGTCGGGTCTCCGCGCGGTGTGTTTCCAAGGAGAAGGGCCAGCTGGCAGAGGCTCTCGCACGGGGCTGACAACCTTTGCTAATCACCAACAGCGGAGGAGGAGGGCGAGGAGGAGCTCGACGGAGCAAGGTGGAGGAGCATGAGTCGAAGTGAAGCCCACAACACGCCTGTCGAGGTCGGCGACGAGGGCGGCGGCGGATGCGGCGTCCTACTTTGACCACAGAACGTGGGTAGACCGAAACCCAATCGATCGAAATCGCAAATCTGGTTCATGCTTCCAGCACACTTTCTCCGAGCGGCCTGTGCACGACCCCCAGAGGGCGACGCCCCTCCTCTGCAGGCCAGGCTCCTTTCGACTGGCCCAGCCACGCAGGCGGCCCTATCGATCTGCGATGACGGAAGGGCCGGTGCTGGACGACCATGCGCGCCCAGCGACGCAGACCGCGCCACGGCGCTGGCGCCGACGGCGGCGGCGGCGGCGGCGACGGCGTCAGCGATTGTTGGCGACGGCGACGAGGACGGCGCTGCCGACGACCCTCTGTCGACGACGGCGGCGACGACTGCGACTGCGACGACTGCAACGCCTGCGACGGCGGCCATGCTGCGCGCGAGGCGCTGCTGAGCCCAGGGCACGCGGGGACGAAGGGCCCACGACAGCCGATTCCGGGGCACGCCCGCCAGTTGGGGTGGGGTGTCGTTGCCGCTCGGTGCGATCGAAATGGGTGCGGAAAGGGTGGTGACAGAGACGGGCAGCAGTTCTTGCCCACTTTGAACAGGATTCGTTGTCGATGTCACCGCGGACGTGCCCAACAGCGGCCGCTGTCAGTTTTGGAAAACCGCTTCTGTTGGGCATCGAGCACATGTCGGGCGCCCACATCTGGGGCCCAGGGTCGCCATGAATCCAGGCCTCGCAGACGGGTCCGAGCAGATGGGATATGGACGCGGGAGCCTGGTTGTCTCCAGGCCAATGGCGCCACTGCATCGCCAGCGTCGCCGATGCATCAGCGACATCTGCGAGTCCGAGCGACTCCTGAGGCCGAGTGGGCACTGGAAGGCAGAGGGAGCATCGGAGACCTGGAGGGGCCCAGGCGCCACAGCTCAGCTGGACTCGGGGCTCAAGGGACGGAGGTCAAACGGGGGTCAGCCAGAGCGCCGGATCCTGCAGGATCCTGCAGGGCCAGGGGTGCACCGACCCGGGCTTGCGTGCAAGATCCTGCAAGGCCTGATTGACCCGGGTTTGCATTGACCCAGGTCAGTACCTCCCCGATGGACCTCATTTTTGCCTTCGTCGACGATGCAGCAGGGTCCTCCGACCCCGTTTGCGCTCAGATCCGAGCTCGGGCGTGCCCAAGGCACCGGGGGGCAGGGCGCCGCGGCGCCGCCACCCGGGCAGGGAAGGGTACGGCGGCGGCGTTGGGCTTGGCATCGCTCGGACGTGTGCTTGTTTCTCTCGGCGAGGACCATGGCGGAGCATCCTGGATCACGCGGGGGAAGAAATCAAGAGCATTTGAAACATGTAGTTATATATATATATATATATATATCGCCCAGGAGCACCTCACCGCGCCAGGAGGGGGGAGGGTCTGAAGGGGTGGGGAGGAGGAGGGAGGAAGAGGAGGGGGGGTCCAGGAGGAAGAGGGCGAGGAGGAGGAGGTCGAGGAGGCCGGCAGCGACGACGTGGACAAGGAGGAGAAGGGATGCGCAACAACCAGGCCAAGGTCGAGAGGAAGAGGAAGCGTCCGAAGAGGCGGCGCACAAACAGGACGGGGGGGAGCGTAGGACGAGGAGGATCCAGACCCGAGGTGCGCACAGGTTTGGCGATGCCCTCAGCAGCCTGTCTGCACCTGTTCTCTGTAGTGCGCCTCACGCCCGGTGAGGGAGCCCAGGCCCCGAAAAATCGGTGGTCCTTGCACGGATGGCCACCCGTCGTGGCCCCCCGCCCCATCGTGCTCCCCGTCGTGTCCCGCTCGACGCCCTCGGCTCTTTGCACACGTTCCGTTCTTGTGGCCGCGCTTCGACTGCACAGTCAAGTCGGGCATGTCCCTCTACAGGAGGAACATCCGAAAATAGTACAAAGGTAATCCAGGAACGATGTTTTCCAAAGTCCGCCTGTGGGGGGACAGGCCCAACCTAACTGTACAGCCAGGGCGCTGAAGAGGCAACCCTTTTCGTTGGGGAGGGGCTCGGTGCTCCTCGATTGCCTCACAGCTTGCCCGAGGGTTTCCCCTTCAGTGTTCGATGGCGAATCGAAGCTTAACGTATGGAAACCAGGGGCCTCGTTCGTTCTTTCGGGCTCCCTTAGGTCAACGCCTCGCCTGTAGGTCGTTCCTGGGCGGCCCAGGAGGCCCCCCCACCGTCGCGTTTATAGGGGCGCTCCGGAGCAGCCCCGCGGCGCCCGGCGCGTTCTCCGAAGGCTCGCCGGCACCTGGAGGTCCCCGAGGGGTCCGAGTGCGGTGTTGTCCGCGTCCTGGCCTCGTCCCCGGCCGAGGAGGGGGTCGACCAGGAGGAGGAGGGGCTGAAGGAGGAGGAGGAGGAGGAGCAGCAGCAGCAGCAGCCTCAGGACGAAGAGGGGGAAGGGAGGGGAGAGACGAGTGGAGGTGGGAGAAGGGGGGGCGATGGGCGAGGAGGAGGAGGGGGCCAAGGAGGCCGAGGAGGAGTAGGAGTAGGAGTACGATGATGATGCTTCCATTCGAGGAGAGGCAGAAAGATAAGCAGCAGGATCATGAGGAGCAGAAGGGGATAGAGGGTAGGGGACGAAGAGGAAGAGGGAGAGGAATAGGAAGACTTCGATGGAGATGAGAATGAGGAGGAGAAGGAGGGTGATTATCGATGGGAATAGGGGATATCAAAGAACAGGAGCGGGCGAACGACTGCTAGCGCGAGCAATGATGAGGTTGAGGATGTAGGAGGAGGAGGGGGAAGATTTGGGCAAGGGGCAGACACATCGAGCCTGGATCGGCGCCATGCCAGATATTTCACAAAAGCTAGTCGAGGAAAATCGATGTTATCAAAAGCCTTGTGGAAGGGATATCACGTACATGATCGTAGTAAGACATTCGGTGATTAAATTGTTCAAACGACCGGCGCAATTCGGCAGATGTATGATGCGAGCATGGCTTCGAATGTGATATGTTAAGACTCGAGGACGCACAAACATGGATCGAGGTGCGTGGATTAGCGATGGATCCCGCTTCCGCGCAGAATCGGAGCACTCCGTCGCCAGGTCAGGCGACATTTACCTCATGTTTCGAGGGGGGCGCCTTCCCTGATGCGTGGAACTGGCGCCCACGCGCCAGATCCACAGATCCCGAATCCATACAACAGCGTGTGCCCGAGCGAAGGAAAGGAGAGAATGGGGGGATACAGCACGCACCACATGACACAATATGGGACACGAGTAGCAGGGGAGGACGGGGGAGAGGGAGGAGGGGAGGAGAGGGAGGAGAGGGAGGAGGAGACGAGAGGGAGAGGGAGGAGGGGAGGAGGGTGGGCGAGAGGGAGGAGGGGCGGAGAGGTAGGAGAGGGGAGGAGACGAGGAGAGGGGAGGAGGGGGAGGGGAGGATGCGCCACGCCACCGAGGGAAGGGACGCCGCCGCCGCCGAGGGCGAGGGCGACGGAGGGAGGAGGCTGCCGCGGGCGCGGCGGGCGCGCGAGAGCTGCCCCCCAGGTACCGCGGCTTCATGCCCGGCGTCAAGTCCGAGACGGTCGGCCGCCGCCCCGCCTTTGGGCCGCCGCCCCGCCTCCAGACCGCGCGACCGGCGAGGGCGCCCGAAGGGGGGCAGACGCTGCCGCGGCGGGGGGGGGCGGCTCCAGGCCGCCCGGGCGCAGCGCGGGCCCAGAGGTCGACACCGGCGCCACGACCGGCGGTGTGCCTCCACCGGGGGAAGACGATCCCGATCTCGGTGATGGGGGTGATGTTCTGGCTTCCAGGATGGCCGAAAGATGACCACCAGCACCGAGATCTGGGATCCTCTTCCCCATGTGGAGGCGGCCCCTTTTGCTGGCGTTGGTGCCAACTTCCAGGCCTCCAAAGGTGGGACCGCAGCGGTCTCAGGCGGGGGTGCGAGGGCAGGGCCATGCGGTCGGGCCGAGGCACAGTATCGAGGTCGGTTCGGGAAGGGTACCTTTGCTGTTTCTCTGTGCCTGCTGGATGCTCGGGTGCATCCTGGGGGAGGATACCCTCGAATGATCGTGAGGTTTGAGGTGTTTTCGGGGGGGAGGAGGGTCTCGTGTTCTTGAAGGAGGTTATTCTGTCTTGGGTCCGACTGTATCCGTTGTCATTGCGCCGCCGCTTTTTGGTGGCAGGCGTCAGCTGGGCGAGAGGAGGCAGAATCGCCCAGTCGATTTTCCCAAGGACTGGGGCTATGGTTTCAGCAGCCCAGTTGCCCCAAAAAGGTAAAAGGGCTCCCGGCTGGGGCCGAAGCAGGTTGCGGGTCGGAGGATCGCGCCGCGCCGCAGGTGCGGCGGCCAGGCGGCTCGGCGTCGCCAGTGCGTCGGCGATGTATCGGCGATGTTGCGGTATCATCCGGCCTCGTCTACTCGGACCCCATCTGGGCGGCCTGCAGTGAGGCGGGGGGGATGGAAGGAGGGAAGAGGGAAAAGGGTGGTGCGATGGGAAGGACGAGGTTAGCGAGGAGGATGGGGACGGGGTGGGGGAGTGGACGAGGAGGAGGAGGAAGAGGAGGAGGAGGAGGAGGAGGAGGAGGAGGAGGGCGGGAGCAGGAGGAGGAGGGTGGAGGATGGAGGATGGAAGAGGAGGGTTAAGGATGGATCCGCATGCGGTCCGCTGGCCGCGCTCCCGCTGCTGCGCGCTCGAGGCCCAGAGAGCGCGTCGTGCTCGCGGGGGCGAGAGGCCCGGCCTGTCTTCGGAGCTCCGGCGCAGGGGATCGGCACGCTGGCTGGTGCGGAAGGCACGGTGACGAAGGCCCGACTCGGCGGCGAGCCCCGGGGTGGGTAGGAGTGAGAGGGAGCAGGCCGTCTCGGCAGGCGCCGGGGCTGCTCAGAAGCCCTCTGGCCTTCTGTGAAGTGCGCCGCGTCTGTGGGGAAGGCTTAAGAGCAAGGAGGAGGAGGAGGAGGAGGAGGAGGAGGAGGAGGGCGGGGGAGAGGGGCCCGATCACGTCGCGATGCGCGCCAGCGCCGTCTGAGAATTCTTGGGGATTGTTAAGTATTCACGCTTCGCCTCTCCCACCAGCCCGTTCAAAGACCCTGCCGACGAGAGCTTGTGGGAGAAAGGGGGAGAGACTCATGTAGTGAAACCAAGCAGGCAACCAGTGTGAACAGAGTGATCTCTGGGAGAACGGGGGTGGCCTTGGAGTGCCTCTTCAGAATATCCCTAGGGCCCGCGTGGAGGCGAGGGGGGGGGGGAGGAGGAGGAGGAGGAGGAGGAGGAGGAGGAGGAGGAGGAGGAGGAGGAGGAGGAGCAGGAGCAGGAGCAGGAGGAGGAGGAAGACGACGGCGTCGACGACCACGACGACGAGAAAGAGAAGGAATAGGAATAGGAATAGGAAGACGATGAGTGCAAGGACGAGGAGGAGGAGGAGGAGGAGGAGGAGGACAACGAGGACGAGGACAGAACCCTCAAGCTCGCCCTCTTGGGACCCTTGGGGAGATAGATCTTAGGGTCCTATTGGGGCTCTTTTGGAGGGTCTTGGGGCCCTCTTGGAGCCCTCTTGGGGGTCCCTTGGGAGACATGAAGGGCCCTCAGGGGCCGTCTAGGAGGCCATCGATCAGGGGGGGACCCTCGATTTGCCTCCCCCTCTGGGGCAATCAAAGTCGCCTTCGGGGGCGCTCCTGGGCCGCTTTTGGGAGCTCTTGGGGCCGTCCGGGGGGCTTCTTTGGCCCCTCTTGGGTCATCTTGGGCCATCTGGAGAACTCGAAAGCGCATCGGAAGCGGAAAGGCGATAAGGCAAAAATCATTGTTCTTCTTTAGGTGTTTGAAGGACATTGTTGGCCTCTTGGGAATTCCTGAAGGTTCGAGAGCACTTGGAACCGTCTTGTGGCCCTCGTCGGGCCTCTTGGAGGTACGTCGGAAGCTATCTTGACCTATTGTCGGCTATCTTGAGCCGCCTTGGAGGCCATCTTGGAGCATCGGACACCGTAGTGGAGCGATCCTGGGCGCCCTGACCGATCGCACCCCCCCCCGAAACAAACCTCAGGAAGGGTGGGGGAGTCGACCTCCCGGAAGGGAAGAGGGCTGGTGGGATTCCGAAAGGATGCCGGCGCGAGTCGTGACGGGACCAGGGAGGGGACGGGGGGGTGGGCGTCGGGGCCGGTCGCGGGCGTTCTTGCGAGCAGCATGGGCTCCAGCGCTCGCCCATTTTTCAGGAGGGAAAAAAACACACAGACACAATTAATCGTCGACTCCCAGGAAAATATGGGAAAATATGGGAAGCGGCGGGGAGGACAGAAACCCAGAAAATATGAGAAAATACGGGGAATCTGTTTATTTGTGTGTATCTCTCTGTGTGTCCTGGGGCCCCTTCCATTTCTGGCCAGGGCTCGCTGTCGGGAGGGGGTCGAGGGGGTCGGAGGTCCTGCCTCGGCTCGCGCGGCGCGATGGTGGAGCCCGGTGGTCGCCCCGCCAGCGGCGCCTATCTGCATCGCCGACGTCGCCGATGGCGACATCTGCGGTGCGCCGTGCTCCTCCTCCTGCTCCTCCTCCTCCTCCTCCTCCTCCTCCTCCTCCTCCTCCTCCTCCTCCTCCTCCTCCTCCTCCTCCTCCTCCTCCTCCTCCTCCTCCTCCTCTCCTCCCCTCCTCCTCCTCCTCCTCCTCCTCCTCCTCCTCCTCCTCCTCCTCCTCCTCCTCCTCCTCCTCCTCCTCCTCCTCCTCCTCCCCCGACGTCGCCGATAGTCACCACCCACCAAACCACCCCAACCCAACCCGAAGGCTCAGATTTACCCTCGATTTCTGGTGGGGGGGGGGGTCGGGAAGCGTCGAAAAAACACGCGTGGAACCCTTACCCCCCAACCCGAAATTCGGGTCTTCGGGTTGGGTTGGGGTGGTCTGGTAGGTAGTCAGATAGCGACATCTGCGGTGCACCGTGATCCTCCGGCCCCGTTTGCTCGGATCCCACTCGGGAGGCCTCCGACGAAGAGAAGTGGTCCTGAGGGAGGCGGAGCCTGCGCCGTGGTTGGCAGCTTCTGTCGGCCTCTTGGGACCCTCTGGCGGCAAGCCGGTCATTGAAGGAAAAAGCCCTCGGCCCCGGACTCGTTTTCTTCAAGACTTGCTTGTTTCACGCCAACAGTTGGCGGCGCGCCCAGAGTGGAATGCAGAGGGGACGGGCTTTTCTCAGAAGGCTCGGAAGGCACCCGGCCTTCTGAGAAGTTGTCTGTGGCTTCTCGGAGGGCCCAGAAGGCTTCTGAGAAGGCCCGCTGCCTTCTGCGAAGGCTTGCTCTCTCTCTCTCTCTTTCTCGCTTGGCGCGCCGCCGAGACAGGGCCCCAGAGGCCAGGACCTCGCAGACCAGGACTGTGCCAGAGCCCGCCGGCGCGAGCGCAGGGGAGCGGAGGATGCGCTGCCCCACGGCTGCAGAGGCCTCCTCGAGCGTGCCCGCCCCGAAATCCGACGGCGCGGAGGAAGGGCAGCTTCGCCATAGATCACGATCGTCGCAGGCCTGGAGATTGACGCCAGCACCAATATCGGCGGTGTGCATGCACCGAGGGGGGAAGATCCCGATCTCAGTAATGGTGGTAAGATGCTGGCTTCCAAGGTGGCCGAAGTATTGCCACCAACACCGAAATCGTGTGGAGGCAACCCCCTGTGGAGGCAACCCCCTGTGTTGGTGTTGGTGCCCATTTCTAGGCCTCCAAGATCAGACTCTCTGGACCCGAATGTTCTGCGTTTCTCGAGCCGGATCGGCTGGGCCCTTTTCCGGGGCCCGAGTCCCCGCGAGAGCGCCCAGTGTGACAAGAAGGGCTGCGACGCCCACGTGTGTGAAGAGAGCGGTTTGGGGCCTAGCAAGCCTCGGGTATAGCCAGGACCCCAGGTGAGGGGACCCGATCAGTAGTGGGGCCCTGGAGCCCCGAAATTGGCCAGAATCACTAAACCAGGTCTGCCGCAGCTGTTGTTTTTCCGGGTGACGGCAGTTCTGGTTAGTGGAACGGGGCGGGGGGGGCGTCCCCCAGCACATATCACTAAACCAGGTCCCACTAAACCCAGTTCTGCCAACGCCCGACCCTCCGGGGCCCGAGTCCTAGCGAGAGCGCCCAGCGTGAACAGAAAGGTTGCGGCGCCCCAGCGTGTGAAAAACGAACGGTTTGGGGCCCATCAAGCAGACCAGAAGCTCCTCTTCCTCCCCCTCCTCCTCCTCCCCCCTCCCCCTCCTTCCTCAACTCCGGCGAGGTCTTTGGCACCACCGCCGCGAGGGCGAACGCCCATTCTGGCGAGCTGCGCGCGCCGCCGAGCGGCGAGCCGCGGCCGGCCCCTGCAGAGGCGCGCAGCGGCGGTGGGGGAGGGCTCCCCTCGTCGTCCACGAGGCGTGGGCGAAGGGGAGGGGGAGGGCGAGGAAGCGGAGGAGGAGGAGGGAGATGGACGAAGAGAGAGAGAGAGAGAGGTAGAGATGAAGAGATGGAGCGAGATGGACAGGGAGGGAGAGGGAGAAGGGGGCAAGATCAAAGATAGAGAGAGAGGGAAAAAAGTAGAGAGAGAGAGAGGGAGAGAGAGAGAGAAAGGGAGGAAGAGAGAGGGAGATAGAAGCAGCGAGAGATAGAGTGTGTGTGTGTGCGGATTGCAAGCCTTCTGCCGCGAGGTCACCACTTATGCGAGGTCATGGTTGTGCCTTGGCGTGTACCACTTGGAGTCCCTTTCAGGAAAGGCGATGGTGGCGAACAACGTTCGGCCGAGCATGGCTTCCTTGCCAGGGGCCTGCTTGCAGGAAGTCTTGCATGGGAGAGCTGCCAGACTTCTCGCGGACACCCGGCGCGGCATCGGCATCAAGGCCGACCCGAGCCCGGCCAAGGGACCCGGCTATATGCCCGAACGGCGCCCTCTGCGTTGTCGAGCAATGTTCTCACAGAGATCTCTGGGGCAGAGATCAGGACAGAGGTTTGCCCAAGGCTTCCCAGAAAAAAAGCGCCGCATCTGATCAGCATGTGGAGCGTTGAGGGGTCGCAAGTGCGTCTTGCAGCTGGTGCCGCTTTTTGGACTCCGTTCGACACGCGGGATGGTCCATATCAAGGACACACTCTTTCTTCGCTGCTCCTTCATCTATGAGTTCTGCGCGCTCTCCAGCGGTTTCTGCGCGTATGTTCCGAGCGCCCGTGATCTTAAGGCGGCGAGCATTTTGAGCACGTGGATGACATGTTAATGAGCGCTGGAGAAGGTCGCACAGACGTTGCAGCTCATGCCTCTGGCCAAGCCCGTACACAAAGCAGCGTGGACGTTGCCCGCCAAAGTGTTGAACAGATCTTTGGAGTTCGACGCCCGCATCCTGAATATGGAGTCTTTCTCCACCATTTCGGAGCGACAAGACAGAGCGATTTAGAGGATATCTTGGAAAGCAGCCAGAGTCGGCGGTTTCACAGGAGCACCGTTAGAAATTCTTGACGCTTCGCGTATCCCCACCAGCCCATCCTACACCAGGCACTCGAACGAAGAGCGCCGATGATCGGCAGCTGTTCTTCTCCCCCTCTTCCTCCTTCTCCTCCGCCTTCTTCCTCCTCCTCCTCTCCTCCTCCCTCTCCTCCTCCTCTTCCTCCTCCTCCTCCTCCTCCTCCTCTTCCTCCGCCTCTTCCTCCTCCCTGGTGGCGTCTTGGAGGTATCTTCGAACGGTTTGGTGGGCTCTTGGGCCTTGCGGGCGGGCGGGCGGCGCTCCGCCCGCCCGCGCGCAGGGCCCAAGAGGAGAGTCCAAGACGTCTCTTGGAGCCATTTAGGAGGAGATCGATCAACGAAGCAGGGTCCCTCAACTTGGCTCGCCCCCCAGGAGCTCCAAAAATCGTCTCCTGGACCCCTCTTGGATCGCTCTTGGAGCGCTCGTGGCCGCTCTTGGAGCCGTCCTGAGGCTCTCTTGGGCCCCTCTTGGAGCTATCTTGAGCCATCTTGGAGTCATCTTGACGCCTCGGATGTGCATCGCAAGCGAAAAGGTGAGAACGCCAAAAACATTGATTTTCCCTAGGGTTTTGAAGCATGTTTAGGCCCCTAGAGGCTTCCTAGTGATGCTCTTGTGGGTACTTGGAGCCGTCTTTACGCGATCTTGGAGCATCTTGGAGCGTTGTTAGGCGCCATCGGGGCGCTCTGGGGGGGCATCTTGGAGCAATTCTAGCAAAGAAGAGCAGAGCTTTAATTAGCGTTGCCCCTCCAGACTGTCTAAAATCGCTTCCTGGACCCCTCTTGGAGCGCTCTTGGACGCTGTTGAGGGAGTCTTGAGGCTCTCTTGGGCCCCTGTTGGGGCCCAGTTGGGACATCGTGGCGCCATCTTGAGGCCTCGGATGGGCTTCGGAAGCGAAAAAGTGAGAACACCAAAAACATTGATTGCCCCTAGGGTTTTGAAGCATTTCTGCCTTTTGAGGGCACTCTAATGATGCTCTTGTGGGCACTTGGAACCATCTTGGAGCGGTCTTGGAACGTGTTGGAGCGTCGTCTGAACCATCGTCAGACATCTTGCGCTATCTTGAGCCATCTTGGAGGCGATCTTGGGCTCTCTGAGGCCCTCTTGGAGCCGTCCTGGGCCATCTTGGACGCTCTGACCGCTCCCCGCCCCTCCTGTCCAGGTCAGTGGGGAGGGGTAGGGGGAGGGGTAAACCCCTCCCCGAAGGGGAAGAGGGAGGGGTGGAAGAGGAAACGCCCTAAACCACCGACGCCCAGAGGGCTGGTGGGATTATCAGTGCGCGTGGCCAGGCGCGATTTGGTCACCGCAGCGCAGCCACGAAGTGCCAGAAACACGTGCCACCACGAGCACATGACCAGGATAGAGTGGAGACCCAAGCCAAGAAACATGCCTCCAGGGTGCCCTGGGTTTCTTGGGTTTCGATGGTTTTGCGATGGAGAGCGCGACGTTCCCGCACCAAACTCAGTGGCCGTCCTGGGGTTTCAGGGTTGTTTTTCTTTGGAAGTTTCTTGTGACGGACCTCCACTGTATGTGATGTACGCGGCCCGAGATGGTATTGGATTGGAGGAAGGGGCAGGAGCAGAAGGGGGAGGGAGGCGGAGGAGAGGGCAAGGGAGGAGGCAACAGGAAGGAGGAGGAGGAGGGGAGGGGAGGGGAGGGGAGGGGTGGGGAGGGGGGGGTGAGACCTAAGCGGAAAACGTGAGGTGCCCCAAACGGGAAATTTGTTCGTCTCTGTCGTGTCTCGGCCTTGCCGAGCGGTCGGGCCACGGCAACGGAGGTCGAGGGGGTGAGACCGAAACGGAAAGCGTGAGGAGTCCCAACCTGGAAATCGTGTCTTGTCGTGCTGGTCTCGCGGCCTGGCGAGGCGAAGTTGCGCGAGTTGCCCCCAGGTTGTCCCGATGGTTGTCCTCATTGATTGTCCGATGGCTGTTCCAATGGTTGTCTCGATGGGTGCTCCCATGGCTGCTCCAACGGTTGTGCCAGCGGTTGTCCCGATAGTTGTCCCGGGTACTGCCCCGACGGATGTCCCGATATGTCGATAGTGAGATTGGTAGTGGTAGGGGTATTGGGGCGATAGACAGTGAGACCGACAGATCTTGAGACCGATTGATTCTGTGTAAACACAGCTATATCTACACGTATAGCGATAAGTGAACAAGAGGTTGATCGGCACATTCTGAGACCGATAAGTAATGATACCGACCGATATGTTGACAGGTGATAGCGAGGTTGGTATCTTGGTAACGAGACCGATCAATCATTAGACCACTGTCTCGTGATTGTCCCGTGGTTATGTTGTGGTTGTTTTTTGGAGTCCCCGTGGCAGTATCAGATTTATCTTATCCTGTGGTTGCCTTGCGGATGTCGATCGATACACGTTGGATTCGATAGATGGCGAGACCGGCGTGTTCACAGTGAAATAGATCGATGGACAAGTTGGTAGCGAGATTGGCAGACTAATAGTTAGCTCCGTACATATGAATATCGAGATGTAGACAGTGAGGTCGAGAAGAGCGCGTTCTGTGGTCGCTTGGAGGGGCGGCAGGTTTGGAACCCGACCCCCCCCCCGCCTGGATGGAGGGGGAACCCCCACCCCCCGGGGGGGGTTCAAACCCCCCTTCCCCCGCGTCGGGCCGGCGCCTGCGTCGGCGGCGGCGGGGGTGACGACCTCCTTTTCTGGGCTTGCGCCTGCGGCGACGGGCGGCGGCGGCGGGGAGCGTCGACGAGGACGACGGCACGATGCTGACAACGACGACGACGACGACGCTCCGCCACCGTGCCTTGGTTTTGGGTCAGAGTCCTAATGGATGCCTCTTGGGGTCTCGTCGGAGGGCTCTCGGGGGCATCTGAAGGCCATTTGTGAAGCCTCCTGGGCGCCTCTTGGACGTCTCTTGGAGCCTTTCTGAGGTGGTGGTGGTGGTGTTGGGTTGTGGTGGTGGTGGTGGCGGTGGTGGTGGTTGTGGTGGTTGTGGTGGTGGTGGTGGTGGTGTGGTGCTGGTGGTGGTTGAGGTGGTGGGTGGTGCTGGTGGTGTTGGTGGTCGTGGTGGTGGTGGTGCGGTGGTTTGTGGTGGTGGTGGTGGTGATGGTGGGTTGTGGTGGTGGTGGTGGCGATGGTTGTGTTTGTGGTGGTGGTGGTGGTTTGTTGTGGTGGTGGTTGTGGTGGTGGATGGTGGTGGTTGGGTGCGGTGGTGGTGCGGTGGTGGTTTGTGGTTGTGGTGGTGGGTTGTTGTGGTGGTGGTGGCGGCGGTGATGGTGGTGGTTGTGGTGTGGTGGTTTGTGGTGGTGTTGGTGGCGGTGGTGGCGGTGGTTTGTGGAGGTGGTGCTGGTGGTGGTGGTGATGTGGTGGGTGGTGGTTGTGGTGGTGGTGGTATGGCGGGTTGTGGTGGTGGTGGTTGTGGCGGTGGTGGCGTGGTGTTGAAGTAGACTGGTGGTGGTGGTGATGGTGGTGGGTGGTTGTGGTGGTGGTGGTGAGTTGTTGTGGTCATGGTGGTGGTGGTGGCTGTGGTGGTGGTGGTTGTGTGGTGGTTTGGTGGTGGTGGCGGTGGTGGTATTGGTGGTGGCGATGGTGGTGGTGGCGTGGTGATGTGTGGTGGTGGTGGTGGTGGGTTGTGATGGTTGTGGTGGTGGCGGTTGTGGTGATTGTTCTGGTAATGGTGTTGTGGTTTTTGGTGATTGTGGTGGTTGTGGTGGGTTGTGGTGGGTTGTGGTGGTGCTGGTGGTGGTGGCGTTTTTGGAGCTGGTTGTGTAGCGATTTGTGGTGATGGTGGTAGTTGTGGTGGTGGTGGTGGGTTGTGGTGGTTGTGATGGTGGTGGTGGTGGTTGTGGTTGTAGTGGTGGTGGTGGTGTGGTTTGTGGTCGTGGTGGTGTGGCCTTCGGCTCTTCCCGCCACCGTGTTTTGGCTTTGGTCAGAGTTCTAATGGATGCCTCTTGAGGTCTCGTCAGAAGGGTCTCGGGGGCGTCTGAGGAGCATCTGTGAAGCCTCGTGGACCTTCCTAAGGGCCTCTCTGTGGCCTTCTGGGGGGCGAAGGCTCCATATGGCGATTTGTGTGTGTGTGTGTGTTCCCTCTGCGGCCTCTGGGCCCTTTCTGGTAATCGTCGCTGCGTCCCCGCCGTCGGCGCTGCTGGCCGCCGCCGGCGCGGGGGGGGAAAGGTTTGGACCCCCCCCCTTTCCCGGGCCCCCTGGGCCCCCTCTGGTCATCGCCGCTGCGTCCCCGCCGTCGGCGCTGCTGGCGGCCGCCAGCGCCGGCGCCGGCGCCAGGGGGGGGGTTGGAATCCCCCCCCCCCGCTTGGAAGCGGGGGTCGGGGCTTTCGGGAGGGGGGTTGGAGGGGAAACCCCGTGGTTCAGGTCGATTGCGCCGAGTGTTGGGGGGGCCCACCCCCTGGCTCGAAACGCGCCGTCGCATGATCCTGAGGCAAGCGCCCGTGAAACGCGCTCTCTCTGAGATCGGTAAGCATATTGATTATGTGAGACCGGTAGATCGTACGACCGATGGAGTGCGAGACGAATAGTCAATAGATAGAACGTGTAATCTGATTATCATGAGATGGCGTTAAAAGGCTGGCACCGCCTACCCTGAAAACGACGATGTCGACGAGGAGGAGGAGGAGGAGGAGGAGGAAGAGGAGGAGGAGGAGGAGGAGGAGGGGGGAGAGGCGCAGCAGGAGGAGGTAAGAGCAGGAGAAGGAGCAGGAGGACAAGGTGCAGGAGGAACCGCATGAGGACGAGGAGGAGGAGGAGACGCCCAGGAGAACCAGGAGGTAAAGAAAGAGGATGATGATGATGGTGATGATGATGATGGTGATGGTGATGGTGATGGTGATGGTGATGGTGATGATGATGATGCTGATGATGCTGATGCTGATGCTGATGCTGATGCTGATGATGATGATGATGATGATGATGATGATGATGATGATGATGATGATGATGATGATGATGACGGTGATAATGATGAGGAGGAGCAGGAGGAGGAGGAGTAGGAGGAGGAGGAGGTTGACGAGGACGTGGAGGAGCATGGAGAGGAGGGGGGGCTGGGCACTGGAAGAAGGTGCAGGGGGGGGTCGACGAGGAGCAAGATGAGGGGGTTGGGGTTGACAGAGGTGTAAAAGAGGAGCAGGAGGGGAGATGAAAGGGAGGAGAAGCAGAAGGAGCAAACTTCGACGCTTCGTGGGCCGCCTTGAGCTCACAGAAGCCCAGCCGGAAAGGCGAGGCTGCGGGCATCTGTCAAGCACGTAAGGACAACCGCATGATCTTGGTTTCGTGGGCTTTGCTGGGGGTCCTCTTGGAGCCCTTGTGCGCCTTTTAGGGGGGGTCTCTTAAGGCAATAGGCAATCTTAGTGATGCATGATGGTTGAGCTTGTCATATTTTCCTCTACAATTGCTTTTTCATCCCTCTCCCGTCCTACCTACCCCTAGCATATTCCGTCTTTGTTCACGGTGATCTGGGCCGTGCCGACGACGACAACGACGACGACGACGAGCACAACGACGTTTGGAGCGTTCGCGAGGCCTTGTGGGTAGTTGTGGGGCCTCTTGGGAGGCTCTTGGGGGCCGTTTGAAAGCCCCGCGGAGAGCTCTGGAGCTGTCTCGGAGTGGTTTTGGAGGAGTCTGCGGCCGTCTTGCGGCGTGAGGAAGCCGGAAAGGCGAGACGCCAGAAGCCTTGACGAATGTGAGAAAGTAGATGTTTGCTGCGGCGGCGGCGGTGGCGGCGATGACGAAGACGACGACGACGTTTGCAGCGCTCCAGGGACCGTTGTGGATAGTTGTGGGGCATTTGGTGAGACTCTTGGGAGCCTCTCGAGGGCCTCGTGGAGACCTCTCGGGCCATTGGGAGCGATTTTGGGGGCGTCTCGGGCCGTCTTGCGGCGTGATGAAGCCAGAAAGGCCAGTCGCCGGAAGCCTTGAAGAAGTTGAAATAGTAGATGATTGTAGCGGCGACGACGGCGACGACAACGGCGGTGTGGACGTGGGTCAGAGTCCAGAGGGATGCGTCTGGGGAGTTCTTCGGAGCGCAGTCGAAGGCCTCTGGGGTGTAGGTGGGTGGCGACGCCGACGGCGATGACGATGCGGACGTGGGTCCGAGCGCTTGGGGGGTGTCCCAGATGCCTTTTGTCGGGGCTGGACAGAACCCCCAACAGTGACACGTCGATTAGTTAATTGTCCGTTTTCGGTTCTCGAGAGGGCGCCGTGGCCGTCATTTACCAGGCCTGCGCCCGCCAGGTTTGGGCCTCAGGTCATTTTCACTAAACCACGTTTTACTAAAGGGAGGTCTGTTCATCCTCGATTTTGGGGGTCGTTGGGGAGCATTGCGGGGGCGTCGTGGGGAGTCCTGGGAGCCTTGGACGCCGAAGGCTCGTCGGGTATTCGGGCAGTCTCTCGGCACCGTCTTGGAGACCTCTGTGGCCGCCCTGCGGGCCTCTTGTTAGGCGGTCTTGGGGCTCTCTTTGGTCGTTGTTGGGGGCCCTTGGAGACCTATTGGGTTACCTCGTGGCGATATGGAATCCTTTAGGGGCGATCTGGCGCGTGGGGAAGCCGAGAAGGAGAGAACGCCAAAAACGATCAGAATTCGACTGAAAAGATCAACAAGTTTGGCCTCCCCAGGCTCTCTTGAACTTGCGCTGGGAGGTCTCCTGGGGCGTCATGGAAACTTCTTGGGCCGTGTGGAGGCTGCTGGGCGTCTTGGACCGATCGTCTTCGTATACGGAGCTTTCTTGAACCGAATTGAGTGGCCTTTAGGACGCTCTGGCCGCGTCTTCGGGCTTTCGTAGGACCCGGGACCGCCCAGGGGGGATGCGTATCTGGGTGGCGACCCCCCCCCCAGGACCTACCCCTGGGGACCCGCCCCAGCGGGGAAGGGATCAAAGGGAAGGGGTTTCCCTTCGGCTCAGCTACGACGTTCAATTCCGCTGTGATTAAGGAGGGAGGTCCAGTGAAAAAAGACGGGGGACGACGGAGACGACGATTGGCAGAGACAAGGAGGAGACGACGACGACGACGACGACGACGACGACGACGACGACGACGACGACGACGACGGAGATGACGACGGAGGCATCGAGGAAACCCCTCACAAGCGCCGACAGGGTCGGTGGCTTCATACATGGTTCAGTAGACAGTGCACCCGAAGTAGGCCGATAGATACCCATTGAAGTCGTGGCTGTCCTTTTGTCCTCCCGCGGTTGCCCCGTGGGTCTCGAGAGAGATGGTGAGACCGATGTCCCGCAGCTGTCGTGTGTCTGTCCCGTGGGTGTCCCGTCTGTAGATATCTAGTCACGTTGATAGGTACTCCAGATTTCGTAATACAAGGGAGGGGGTCTGGACCCTCCAAGACAAGCCATTTCAGACCTCCCCCGTGGGAGAACCCTCCAAAACATCGTCCCCAGACCCCCCCAGGCCCTCCAAGATAGCCTGGAAGAGACCCCCCCCGAAATGAGACCCCCCTCCCTTTATTACGAAATCTGGAGTAGGTAATGAGATTGATATGTAGATCGATCGACTGATAGTGAGACCGACAAAGGGAGAGGACCCGCATTTAGAGAAACGGATCTACAGAAGCATCGCGAAGTTGGTGGGTAACAGGTGAGACCGTTACATCGTGAGGTCGGCCGGTATGTAAAAGATTGTTGTTGGTATGTTTCTAGTGGGGCCGGTAGATATATTCACAAGTTGTATAAAGAAACAAATGTGTAGTGAGGTAGATTTTCGGAGAGATCGATAGGTGTCAAGGCAGAGGGATCGGTGGATAGGTTGAGATAGCTACATTGACAGATCGACCGCTATACAGCGAGATCGCTAGATAGAAGGTAGATCGCGAATCCGATCCGACCCCAGTCGCAATCCGAAAGTTGCGCCCAGCCCCCCAAGAGAAAGCCTCATCATCACCCCAGGGTTTTTCCTACAGGTAAGGAACAATATTGTTTGGCAAGGGGCTCTGCTCTCCGTATGTGGGTTCTTCCGAAACCGATCGCGTTTCTTATGTGTGCGTGTGTGTAGCAGCAGCTTGGTTGCATAATGTGGTTGGACATGAGGGCGCACCACTCCGCGCTAGTATATTCTGAAAGCGCGCTTCTTAGCTAAGCTTGCGTCGACACATGCGTAGCTGACAGTGACGGGGAGCCCGCGCGCAAGGCCTACGAGTGGACGGTTCCGCTGGACAGGGTTCAGGGCGTGCGCAGTCAGCAGGATTGCGAGATTTGGGCGTTCACACAGCAGGAGCTCCTATCTCGCCTTTTTCTGGCATCGGAGCGGGCTACCCGTGATTGCAAATTGTAGTTTCTACATGTCTCGCATATTTCTTATTCGCATGGGCTCCCCACCCGAAGCATCCATATCTTGCCTTGTCCTCCTCTCGATGCGAAGTGGCAGAGAACTTGGCCCGACAACGCTGGCTATACCATTTGAGGGCGAAGTGAGAGTAGCAGAGATGAAGATGGAGAAGCAGGCAGCGCGTTCGGGCTGAGCTTCTCGCCTCCGAGGTCCCCTCGCTCTCCTGCCTCCGCTCGCTCAGCACTCGATCTTGGGAGACCAGGCCGGAGGCCCTCAGAACTAGAGTCAGCCTCCGCGAATTGGCTCGCCAAGTGAGCTCATCAGCACCCCCGCGTCGTGGTGTTTCTGCTGCGCGCGCCCCTCGCAGCGGCACCAGGCCTTGCGCTCCCTCTCGCGAGTCCCAGGCCCCTTGGTAAGATTTGAATCCAGGCTCTGTGGTGCCCGCAAGTAGATAGCTTTGCTAACTCAGATGGTGGGCATCGATACAGATAGCAGCAGCAGCAGCAGCAGCAGCAGCAGCAGCAGCTCCTCCTACTCCTCGTCCTCCTCCTCCTCTTCCTCCTCCGCCCCAGCGATGGAACCCAGAATGGAAGGATAGGAGATCAGATGTGTACCCTCAGTCTGGAACGCAGCGCCGTCGAGACAGGCGCAAAATGGCAGAGTCGATATTTGATTATGAGGAGCGCCTGAATCAGAAGGTATCGCATCAAGAGAGTATGTTGGAAGAGAGGTTCAATGCGTTGGTAGACAAAATGCAACGTTTGTCAAATTAGTATACCGACAGTCAACACTCAGTGGTAAATTCTCAGTGGTTGATGCAAGATGGCGCAACGACGCAACATATGTTATTCAATATTATGTTCCAGTTCCAGGTGCGATTGGAATATGCTTTTCCATAAGTTTGTGAAAGATTCGGGGCGCATGCAGCCTCGAGGCGAAGTGCCGCAGTCAATGGCGCAGCGTGGGAACTCTGACGGATGTGATTAGAATTCCAGTTCGCAAGGTGTCGTGCGTCGCGTGGAGAGGTTGGAACGCCTTGCCGTCTGCAAGGAGGCTCCCATTTGTTCAACCGTGGATGAAGTGCTCAGCGAATTGCTGTCGAGATCGGAGGGCGTCGCGCGCCACTCAGGCGGATCAGTTCACAGTGAGGCTCGCCTGGAGCCCCTGGACGAAAATGAAACGCACAATTTTGCAGAGCAGGTATTGTCACTGGACGCTGACGAAATCGACATTGGCCCTTCAAAATGGGTTGGCTTACGGACGCGTCTATCTAGCACGGTTGTGCATCACGTCCGGATCAGTTCCACAATGGTCGGAAATGCGACAGAAATTTCAGACATCCTAAGTGGTCGGAGGAGATTTTCGCCACAGGAGATCCATGAACATGGCTTCGACAATGGAGCGAATGGTAAATACAGAAGATTGTCAACAAAAATGGCACGAGCAGAGTTCGAGAAATAATTTGGATAATTGCACAAATCCAGTTTCTGGAGACACGTTTGCAATACGCTCCACAATGGTACCGGCGACCCGCTAAGCAAATCAAATTGTTTCTTGCGGGTGATGCACACAATATCGTCTATGAAGTAACGCGGCTGGGAGCCCTTATGTGTGGCATGCCGTATATCGAGAAGTGAGTTTCGGCGCTCTGGCGCCCCCGCTGCGCTCCTAGAGGGCCGCGCTCCGGCGCGAATTGCAGCATCCGTCCGTCCGTCCTCTTCTTCCTCCTCCTCATCATCATTATCAGCATCATCCTCATCATCATCACCATCATCATCATCCTCCCATCTTCGCTTTCACTCCTCCACCCCTGCTCCTCCTACTCCTCCTCCTCCTCCTGCTCCTCCTCCAGGCGGCGCGCTCAGGGCGGAAGTGAGAAGGAACAGGTTTTCTCAGCAGGCGGCGCACGTTTTCTCAGCAGGCGGCGGGACCTCTCAGAGGCCAGTCCGCCCTCTGAGGAGCGCCCCGCGTCTCCGGAGAAGCTTCGGAAAAGTCTCCAGAAGGCCCGAGGCCTTCTGAGCCCTCTGGGAAGGACCGCCCCCTCCTCACTCCCCCCCCTGGGCTCGCCGCCGATCCTCGCCCTTCGTCGCTCCTCCTCGGCCCCTCCTCCCCCCATCTCTTCCTCCTCCTCCGCCCTCCTCCTCCCCCTCATCGTCCTCCTCCTCTTCCTCCTCCTCCTCCTCTTCCTCCTCCTCCTCCTTCTTCTCCTCCTCCTCCTCCTCCTCCTCGTCCTCCTCCTCGAGCGACGGGCGCTGATGGTACGTTCCGACCATCATTTTGTAAGCTCCCCCGCTTCCGTCGTCGCTCCCCCTGTGGCCGTCTCCAGGCCCCCCCGCGGGCGCTCGGCGGTCCGTGGCCTCGTCAGCCGGTCCCTCGGCCGGCGGGTGCTCATCTCCTTTTTCCCGGGTCGCGGCCCCAGGGACGCAGCCAACCTCTTCCTCCCCCTCCCCCCCCTCCTCCTCGTCCTCGCCCTGGCCCTCGACAACATCAACAGCATCATCAGCATCGCCATCATCATCATCATCATCATCATCATCATCATCATCATCATCATCATCATCATCATCAGCATCAGCATCAGCATCAGCATCAGCATCAGCATCAGCATCAGCATCAGCATCAGCATCAGCATCATCATCATCAGCATCAGCATCAGCATCAGCATCAGCATCATCAGCATCAGCATCAGCATCATCATCATTATCATCAGCATCAGCAGCAGCAGCATCATCACCATCCGCATCATCATCCGCGTCATCATCAACATCATCAGCAGCATCATCAGCAACAGCCGTATCAGCATCATGATAGTCAGCAGCAACAACATCTTCATTATCATCGTCACCATCATCATAAGCATCAGCATCACCACCATGATCATCGTCTCCACCAGCCCCATCCTCTCAGCCTCATCATTATCATCAACAGCAACAGCATCATCACCAACATCAGACGATCGCCACCAGAACCACCACCACCACCACCATCGTCGTTCCTCATCCTGGCTCCTCGTCATCATCAACATTAGCATCATCATTAGCAGCATCATCAGCATCAGCATTAGCATGAGCATCATCATCGTCGCCACCAGCACCACCACCACCACCATCGTCGTCCCTCATGGCTCCTCCTCCTCCTCCTCCTCCTCCTCCTCCTCCTCCCCCTCCTCCTCCTCCTCTTACTCCTCGTCATCGTGAACACCAGCATCATCATCACCATCACCATCATCCCCCACCCCTCCACCTCCTCATCGTCCTCATCGTCCTCATCGTCCTCGTCCTCATCATCATCATCATCATCATCATCATCATCTTCCTTCTCCTCCGTTTCCTTTTCTATTTTTCCTCACCCTGAAGGCCTGATCGGGGCGACGAGATCTAACAACGTCCACCGCCCCTGGCCAGGCATGGCCTGGCCTGGCCAACGGGCTCAGGATCAGCGGACATGGCTCCCTGGGCCAGACAAGCGGTGGGGCGCCTACACCGCCCCTTGGCCAACGGGCTGGATGGGCCAGGCCAGGAGCGGCGAGCCTCCATCGATCCCGCCACCCGGCCGGAATCCCACGACACCGACGCCTCGATGTTCTCGCAGCGCGGCCCCCGCCGAGGGCTGGACCCCTTTCCCCGGGACGGGCCTCTCGCCCCGAGCGCCGTCTGGCACGAAGAAAAGTCTGCGCGTGTCTTCCGGAGGTGTGCGCCGCGCCGCCAACCCCCTCACCAAGAGCGAGTTCGCGAGGAGGAGGAGGAGGAGGAGGAGGAGGAGGAGGAGGAGGAGGAGGAGTCGAGCCACCGTGCCTGGCCTGCGGGTCCGGATCCTCGGGGCTGCGCCCGAGGGTCTCCTGGGATGCCCACTCCGAGGGGCCTCTCGGGAGGCTCCCGGGGAGCTCCTTCTCCGCCGCGACGTCTTGTACCTCGTAGAGCTCTTCGGCATCGATGAGCTAGAGGAATTCCGGCGCGGAGAGGAGCTAGTTGGCCGACCCGACCAAAAGAGACAATGTGGTGACTTTGGGTCGGTTTTGCTAAGATTTGAAAGATATTTGGCAATTCATTTTGAGAAACCAGATTTTTCCCACCTGTAAACGACTATCAGGGCCTCTGCGTCTCAATATGAGCTCTGTAGGCGCACATTTACTATCAAAACACTTGTGGGAACCAACTTCATGTCGACATGAAAAAAAATGAATGTTCAATTTTTCGAGAAATGCCTCCAGAAGCTCTCTCTTCCGACTCTGAGCTCTCTTACGCGTGAAAAGAGCTCTACGAGGTTCCCGGCGGTGACCAGGTTGACGGTTCACCGCCGGCGCCAAGTCACGGCGCGAGGGGGCCGCCCGAAGCAGCCACCCCGTGCGCGCCGGGGGCCAGGAGCAGCCGCAGCTGCCGGCCTGGATGGGCGGCGAGCGGCGAGAGCACGGGCCCGCCGTGCCCGGCTACGGCGGGCATTCCGCGCTGCGGCGGAGGCGGCGCTGCTTCGCTCGCGCAAGGGAGGGTCGGGGAGGGCCAGGAGAGGAGGCCCCGTGCAGGAGGAGAGGAGGAGGGAGGGAGAGAGAGAGAGAGAGAGAGAGAGAGAAGGCGGGAGGAGGAGGAGGAGGAGGAGGAGAGCAGAGGGGCAAGCCAGGTGCGTTCGCGCCTCACGGGACATCCGACCCAGCTCGCCCATCCAGACCCAGCCCACCCGACAGCCGATTCATGTGGACATCGGACAGAGCTCGGATTTGTCCCGCGGACCTTGAAAAAGTCTGCGAGATGACGGCGCATGGCTGCGTGTACACAAGGGAAACACACACGGAGCAAAGCTGCGGCGACGGGAGGGGCTCACAGGTGCGCTGCAGGAGGATTACGTGAAAGGCGGGCCGCTCCAGCGGAGCTGGCGAGGTTTTAAAAATTGGGGCCGCAGGAGATAGAGGGCCACATGCGAACCCTACCCCTACCCCCCACGATTTCTGAGGGGGAGGATGGGATTCACTTCGTTCGGGAGCTCCCGAGCGAAGTGAACCCCACCCTGCCCCTCAGAAATCGTTGGGGGGTAGGGGTAGGGTTCGCATGTGGCCCCCTAGGAGACGGATCCTCAGATCCACAGGGTGGTGGGCAACGGGGCGTGGCGCCCAGTCATGCTCGTCGGCACCACGACCGCACGAGCGGGTGGCGCCGGTGGCGGCACACCTCCGGGATCGCCCGGTTGTGGCCGGCGGGCGCACGGAGCTTTCTGCGGCCGCCTCGGAGCCGCCCAGAAGGAGGAGGAGGAGGAGGAGGAGGAGGAGGAGGGGCGTCCAGGGGAGGGGGTCCTGGAGGCCACGGATCCAGAAGGTCGAGGGGTGTGATGGCGCGGTGCCCACACACACACACACACACACACACACACACACACGCACGCACGCACGCACGCACGCACGCACGCACGCACACACACACACACACACACACACACACACACACACACACCGATTTGGTGCGGGGCTTCCGGGTCTGATTGTATAGGACCATACGCGCATAATGGTTTCAATGTTTGGAGCTGGTATGAAACATTAGAGTGCAGAGCGCAGTGCGAGGGCACATCAAGTAAACAGAAAATGAAGATGCCTGTACATATCTAATAGAATATGTTCAACCGAGATATACATGGAGAGAGAGTGGGAGAGAACCTGAGAGAGGGTAGGCGTGGAATGCATGCGAAAATTGCTGGAAAATCCACTGATTAGACTGATAAGGGGCTTTTCTCTGGTGCAATGTTCTCTAACCGCCGACGGGTGTCGCAGTGGACCTGGAAACAACCATGCCTTAAGGGGGAATACTGCCCACTGGAAATCCTCGGCGGAGGGAGGAGACTAGTGCTCACAATCAAATTCATTGTAGAAAGGGGGAGGAGGAGGAAGACGAGGAAGAGGAGGAGAGGGAGGGGGTCGAGGGCTTCGACCACTCGTGGTGGCACAGTCCGGAGCTGCGGGCTTCGAGGAGGGGGAGGGATCCCAGACATCCGATGTCTCGATTTGTTCGAGACACGGGCCCCCGACCTCCCGACCACTTCCCCAGGACCGGTTTTCCACTTCCCCAGGACCGGTTTTTCATCCCGAGTCGTTCTTTGACGGTCCCGAGGCCCGGCGCGGGCCCCGAGAGGCCCAAAACGACGGAAAGCTTCCGTCTCGATTTTTTCGAGACGCCCGATGTCTGGGATGGGGGAGAAGGAGGAGGCGCCTACGGGCACAACAAAAATCCCCAGCTGTGGCCACGCCCGCGAAACAAATCGCCGCCCGCAGCCGGCGCCCCGGCCAGCAGCCCGCCGGCGCCATGCCGGCCGGCGCCCGCCTGGAGCGAGCGCCCGCTGTCGTTGCCGTCATCAGCGCCGCCGTCGTCGTCGTCGCCATCGTCGTCGTCTTCGTCGTCGCCGTCGTCGCCGCCGCCGTCGCCACCGTCGTCGTCGTCGCCGTCGTCGTCGCCGCCGCCGCCGTCGCCGTCGTCGTCATGGTCGTGGTGGTTCAAGCGGTGACGAAGCGCCCCCAGACGTGATCGCGTTGCGAAAAAAGTCCGGGCGGGAGGTGTTCGGCAATGTTCGGCCCCGGGGGGCCCCTCGCTGGGCCTCGGGACCGTCAAAGAACGATTCGGGACGAGCATCCAGTCCCGGGGAATGGGTTGGGAGGGGCGGGGCCCAGACGCAGGGTTGGTAATGGCAGTTTTCGGGTTTTCCTTCGGGTTTCTGTATGTTTTTCGGGTTCTCCCCTTCTCCGTCCCAGAAGAGCCCAAGACCGCCCAAGACAGCCCCAAGACGTCCCGAGAGGCTTCCAAGACGCCCCAAGAGGCGCCCAAGAGGCGTCCCAGGAGGGCCCCAAGAGGCCAAAATCATTGATTTTCCTGTTTGGAAAACGTACATTTTTAGCATGCACGGCTTTGCGGCTTTCACGGCGTTGACGACGGTCCAGAGGCCCCCAAGACCGCCCCAAGACGGCTCAAGAGGCTCCCAAGAGGTCCCCAAAACAGCCCAAGAGGGCCCCAAGACGGCCCAAGAGGCGCCCAAGACGGCCCAAGAGGGCCCCAAGACGGCCCCAAGAAGGAGACCACGAACCGCAAAGCCTGGCCTTTCGCCCCAAGAAGCTCCCAGGAGGCCCCAAGAGGCCCCCAAGAAGCCCCAAGAGGCCCCCCAGAGGCCCCCACAAGGGATCCAAAAGGGCCAATAGGACTCCCAAGAAGGCCCAGAGCCGCCAAATCAAGAGCGATCGGCAACGCAAAAAGCTCTTCACACCAAGGCTCCCAAGAGCGAACGGTGACGTAAACAAGCTGAAAGACCAAGGCTCCCAGCAGAGAGCGGTGACGTAACAAGTTCCTCACACCAAGGCCCAGCCAAGGCTCAGGAACGGGCGGCAACGCAACCATCTCTTAACACCAAGGCTCCCACGAGCGAGGGGTGACGTAACAAGCTCTCAACGCCAAGGCTCCCGGTACGAACGGTGGTGTGCGTAATTTCGGTTTTTGTTGCTGCAGCGCTCTTTCCGTTGCTGTGCCGGGCCAGGTCTAATGGTTTGCGGCCCATCCCGCCATTGTGCCGGATGGTGGGTCAGAGTCCTCGCAGGGATACGTCTTGGGGTCAGGGGCCTCTTGGGGGCAGTTTTGGGGCCTTTGGGAGGCCTCTCGGGAGCCTCTTGGGAGCCTCTTGGTGGACGCTTGGGGCTCACTAGGGGTCTTTTGGAGTCTCTGGGAGCCCTTGGGGGCTTCTTAGGACCTCCTGGGGGCCTCTCGCGGCCGAGGACTCGAACTGTTCGTTCAGGTCCCCCAGCTGGGCCTCCTCTTGGAGCCGTTTTGGGGGCCTCTTGGGCCGTCTTGGAGGCCTCTTAAGCCGTCTTGGTGCCCTCTTGGGCCCTTTTGGTGCCCTATTGGAAGCCGTTTCGGCCGTCTTGGGGCTAGCTTGGGCGCCTCTTGGGCCATCTTGGAGCGTTGGGAAGCCGAGAAGGGCGAGAATGCAAAAATCATTCAAACACCGCAGGGGAACGTCAGTGAATGTTGCCTCTTGGAGCCCTGGGAGGCGCCTCGGACCGATCGCTCGGCGACCCTGGGCCCCCTCGGACCGTCTTGGGGCCCTCTTTGGGGGCTCTCTTGGCACATCTGGGGGCTCTCTGCAGGCTTTGAGATATCTCTCCGAACGCCACACCGAGGCCCGGACAGCGCCCCCCAGAGGCACACGAAGGTTTCCGCGCCCCACCCCGGCGGCATCCGTGGACGCGCGGTCCAAACGCCCCCAGAAAATTCTACACGGGCTCCCGCCTGCGGGGCGGCTGGGGACGGGCCATACTTTGGAACTGAGTTCGGAGAGCGGATGGAGTCCGGTGTGGTCGATTCTGCTTGGGACGTCCTCAACTCAGAGCGTGAATTACCTACCCCGCTTTCGCTTCCAGGAAAAACCAAGTCATACCACGCGCCTCCTCGTCAAGCGGCCTGACCAGTACAGGCCGTAGTTTGGCATCGTCTGGTATCTCTTGGAAGCGAGGGTGGTCAAAAGCGAGGTAGGTTTGTTTTCCCCCTATCAACATCTGCCCAGTTTGACACCCTGTTTAACACATGGCTTGGCCTCACGCCCCGCCCGAGGCATCCTCAGAATTGAATTGGTCTGCTTTGGGCCCTGGTTTGGCCTGGTGTGGGTTTGGTTTCGCTTGATGCGTCCTCAGGATTTGTTTGGTGGAGCCCTACTTGGACATGGTCTGGGCCCAGTTTCGCTTGAGACGCCCCCAGAATTTGGTTGGCTTGGCCCTGGTTTGGCCTGGTGTGGGCTTGGTTTCGGCCGAGACGTCCTCGGAATGTGTTTTGTTGGGCCCTGTTGGGCACGGCCTCGCTTGAGACGTCCGCACAAGTTGCCCCCCCTCGCCCTGTTCCCTCCCGCCCTTCCGTGGAGAACTGGACGGCGGCGCGGGAGGTTGAGAAGGATACCGATCTGGGCCCGTCTCTCGCTTCCCACCTTCCGCTCCCCCCTTCTCCTCCCTCCTCCCTCCTCCCGCTCCCCCCTTCCGCTCCCCCGCTGGCTCCCCCTCCCTCCCCCCCCTCCCCTTGAGATGTAATCCCTGGGAGGTCGGGCTCGGCATCGGAACTGTTATGTATCCGTGGTCGAAGACTGGCCCATTCCGGCAAAACCTCGCCGGACCGAATCCCGCCGAGTCCGGCCTGCTGGCCCCTTCGATCGGAGCCAGTCGCATGGGACCGTTCGTGCGAAAATGTCCAAAGGACTCGAAAGGGCTTGCCACCTCGTCAGCGCATCTGCCTCTCCCAATGCAGTCGGGGCGCTGAAGAAGGAACCCTTCTCGTTGGGGAGGGGCTCGGTGTTCCTTGACTGTTTCACAGCTTGCCTCAGGCTTTCCTTATGTTTTCGGCAGGAAATCGAAGGTCAACTTATGGAGAAAAGGGGCCTCGTTCCTTATGTGGGGTTCCTTAGGTCAACGCCCCGACGGCAGTCGAGACATCTCCAACTAAACAGTCGAGATCTCCAGAGGCCAGCGATTCGAAGAAAAAGGATCAGTTGATGCTTGGGGAAGACCCCGAAAGAGGCGTGTTCCTCAGACTCTTCAATCCAGAAAGCATTGGCGCTAAAAATTCAACTATCGATGTGTCAATCCAAGGGGTCTCAAATGTTGGATGTTCAATTATCGAAGTTTCAATATCCAGACGTAGTTGTACAATATCGGTAGCTGGAACTTGAGATATCAATGCCACAGGTTGACCCCAATATTGGATTGTGAAAAAAGGAAGTTTCAAAATGAGACTTCAGAGCTGATACTTGAACAGGCCAAAGCCAAATCGTCGAACCAGCATGTTATCAGACATGTTTGGTTGAGGCAGTAGTTGTTTGAGGCATCAGCAGCATGATATGATAACATTGCTTCTCCACCAAAGCATAGTGTCGGTCTCTGCTCAAGTGTTGAGGGTCGTCGTCTTCGTCTCCGCCGGCCTAGGCGCCCTGGTCTTGGCCGTGGCTGTCAGAGGCCATCTCTGGCGGTCTCGGGCACAATCTTGGACCGGTTGGAACCAGTGAGGCTGTCTTGGACAGGGAGCCGATGAACTCGTTGATCCACGTCCCCGCCCCCGCAACCAGGATCTGTCATTTGCCTATGAGAGGGGAAGCCAGGCAGCCAATCGTCTCTTCCGCGAGGCGGGAGTCGGCGATTTCTCTGGTGCCTTGACGTATATCCAGCGATGTGCTACCACGGGAATGAGCCACGGGACGCATGATTCCCAGAATGTCAGTCTGGCTTGTTTCAGGCACTCTATAGTGGTGTTTGGCCTCCCGATACTCCCACGGAGTTCTTAGGTTTGTTGGTCCTGTTTCGTTGTCTCGTGCATCTTGGCAACACTCAAACCGATGTCCAAAGATATTCGTCACCCTCCTCTACACATTTGAATTGAAAATGTGATGCCATTAATTGAAGTCGCCGTGCTACCCCTGAGGAGCTCGATTGCCGCATGCCGACAGACCGAGACTGCCAGCCTTGGGACGTGCCTTCAGTTTGTACATGCTCTGCATAGTGATGGTGATCACGTGTTGTTTCCTCCACTCGAGCAATATACAGTCAGTTTTATGATAGGTGTCTATCTCTCTCTCGCTCTCTTTCAGTTGCGCGTCGTGACAAGGAAGTGGAGGAGTTACATCAGCAGCGGGACGACGGAAGCAAGGCGGGAAGAGAAGGGTGGCGGCGCGGGGCCAGACGAGATGGAGGCCTCACATGTTGGAAGACATCATCATGGGGTCATGTGCTCCGTGTATATATATATACACACATCTACATAGAGAGAGCGAAATTATCCTGGCGAAGGGCCCAACCATACGCAATTCCGAATGCCGCCGTTGTAAGTATCGTCGTTGGTGGAACACCCGATGGGGCCACGAAGCGTGTGAGAGGTGCGCCAAATGGAGGTGGAACTGCATGCGGACCCTGCCACTGGGGCCTTCGGTGGAGCACCCTGTGGGGCCGCGAAACGTGTGAGGGGTGCGCCGAAATGGAGGTGGAACTGCATGCGGACCCTGCCACTTGGGCCTTAGGCGGAGCTCTCTATGGGGCCACGAAACGTGTGAGGGGTGTGCCGAAATGGAGGTGGAACTGCATGCGGACCGTGCCACTTGGGCCTTAGGCGGGGCTCCCTATGACGCCACGAAACGTGTGAGGGGTGCGCCGAAATGGAAGTGGAACTGCATGCGGACCCTGCCACTTAGGCCTTAGGCGGAGCTCCCTATGGGGCCACGAAACGTGTGAGGGGTGCGCCGAAATGGAGGTGGAACTGCATGCGGACCCTGCCACTGGGGCCTCAGGTGGAGCTCCTATGGGGCCACGAAGCGTGTGAGGGGTGCGCCGAAATGGAGGTGGAGCATGCGGACCCTGACACTTGGGCCTATGGGGCCACGAAACGTGTGAGGGGTGCGCCGAAATGGAGGTGGAACGCATGCGGACCCTGACACTGGGGCCTTCGGTGGAGCTCCCTATGGGGCCACGAAACGTGTGAGGGGTGCGCCGAAATGGAGGTGGAACCGCATGCGGACCCTGACACTTGGGCCTTCGGTGGAGCTCCCTATGGGGCCACGAAACGTGTGAGGGGTGCGCCGAAATGGAGGTGGAACCGCATGCGGACCCTGACACTGGAGGTGGAACCGCCGTGCGGTAGGGGCCTCCCTATGGGGCCACGAAACGTGTGAGGGTGCGCCGAAATGGAGGTGGAACCGCATGCGGGCCACTGGGGCCTTCGGTGGAGCTCCCTATGGGGCCACGAAACGTGTGAGGGGTGCGCCGAAATGGAGGTGGAACCGCATGCGGACCCTGACACTTGGGCCTTCGGTGGAGCTCCCTATGGGGCCACGAAACGTGTGAGGGGTGCGCCGAAATGGAGGTGGAACCGCATGCGGACCCTGACACTTGGGCCTTCGGTGGAGCTCCCTATGGGGCCACGGAACGTGTGAGGGGTGCGCCGAAATGGAGGTGGAACCGCATGCGGACCTTGCCACTGGGGCCTTCGGTGGAGCTCACTATGGGTCCACGAAACGTGTGGCCATGATGGAGACGGCGATGATGATGACGACGATGGTGATAAGAACGATGATGATGATGATGCTGATGATGACGGTGACGATGACGATGATGATGATGCTGATGATGAGAGGAGGAGGAGGAGGAGGAGGAGGAGGAGGAGGAGGAGGAGGAGGAGGGGGAGGAGGAGGAGAGGAGGAGAGACGCGGGGCACCGTCTCTTCAAAACGAGGACCCAACACCACAGGATGGTTGGGAAAAAGAGAGGCCAGGCCCTGCGCTAGTTGGACCGCAGCGAGGGTCCCCCAATCCATTGCGCCTCACCCATCTTCCCCACCATCCCTCCCCATCCTTCCCCGTCTCCCCCTCCTCCCCCCCTATCCTTCCGCATACCCAACTTCCCCCCATCATCCCCCCATCACCTGCTCCATTGCGCCTCCGCATCCTCCATCCCACTCCTTCCCCGTATCCCCATCACCCCCATCCTTCCTCATACCCATACCCCCCATCATCCCCCCATCCCCTGATCCACTGCGCCTCCGCACCCTCCCTCCCAATCCTGCCCCAATCTCCCCGTCCGTCCCCCCCCCCCACCGCCCCTCTCCTGCTTGCCAGTCGTCTCCGCCCCTCCCTGCCGCCAAAAACCTCGGGCCGGGGGCTCGTCCGCCAGCACCCGACACGAGGGGAGGAGGAGGAGGAGGAGGAGGAGGAGGAGGAGGAGGAGGAGGAGGAGGAGGAGGAGGAGGAGGTGGCAGGGGAGAAGAAGGAGGAGCAGTAGGAGGAGGAGGAGGAGGGGGAGGAGCAGAAGGAGGAGGAACAGGAGGAGGAGGAGGAGGGCGAGCCAGCGCTGCCAGGTGCACAGGCCTGTCATGCCCGGGTACGCGGGCTTCATTCGCCGCCGACACGCGGGATAATTCGATATTTCGCCGCCTCGTCCAGCAGCCAGCACGTCCCACTTCCCCTGACATCTGGGCGTCGAGAACAAAATCAACGGTGTCTGTCCCCCTTCTGGCACCAGGATCCTCTCGGACCGATCCCGCCAGGGAGATATCACAGAAGGGTGAGTTGAGAATCTTAGTAGCGACTTGTTGCACGATTCATGACGTCGTTTAATATTTCACGACGTCGGACCTCCGGGTTGGTGTAAGGCTCGCCATCGTCGCCATTGTTCAGCAGATTCGTTTTCATTTGTTTGTGATTATTTTATCTCCTCTCGTCAAGCCTTCAAGGATGCAGGCTTGTGTACCAAAGTTGTGCAGACCTCCTCCTCCAGCAGTCTTCGCCGATGGGGGTGAGGAAGCAAGATGGTAGACATACAGGCGACGTGCACGAGGTTGGCACCTACAGGGGGAGGGACACGCTAAGACCTCCTCCGACACCCTGGGGGTGCAGAGAGGAAGCAAGAGCCCCGTTCTGTACCAAGCCGTGGGGGTGATTCGCCTGCGGCGTCAGAGAAGCGCCTCCTCCTCCTCCTCCTCGTCCTCATCCTCCTACTGGAGACACTGCAGAGAGAACATGGCCACCCATTAGCTCCGAACGAGAATGAAACGAATTGCACCAACTCAACGCGCCTGGTCGAGCAAGCGGCAGCCATCCGAGGCCCAGGCTGCTTGAGTGTGCGACTCCCGTGCTCACTGGGGCCATGAGCGGGGCCAAAACACGGTTATTGGCACCGGACCCACGGGCTTCACACACCACGACAGGGTGGGAGGGGGCAGGGGCACCAGAGGACAGGGAAACCTCCAGGAGTTTGTGGGGACGGTGGCCGCCGGCAACGAGGAGGGAGGAGGGAGGAGGGAGGGAGGAGGAGGGAGGGAGGAGGAGGGAGGGGGGAGTAGGAGGAGGAGGAGGGGGAGAGGAGGAGGAGGAGGAGGAGGAGGAGGAGGAGGAGGAAAGAGAAAGAGAAAGAGAAAGAGGAGGAGGAGGAGGAGGAGAAGGAGGAGAGGAAGAGGAGGAGGAGGAGGAGGGAGGAAGAGGAGGAGGAGGAGGAGGAGGAGGGAGGAGGAGGAGGAGGAGGAGGAGAAGGGAGGAGGAGGAGGAGGAGGAGGAGGAGGAGGGGGAGGAGGAGGCGAGGCCTCGGCGGCCCTGGGAAGGACCCTCCCCCCCGCACGCTCCTCCCAGCGTACCTCCTGCACAGCGACAGCCACGGCACCACACAGCACCGCCCACCGACACCACCGAGTGCACAACTTCGAGACGACCGACATGGGCACGGAAAGAATGGGTACTATGCCCAACAGCAGTTCTTGTTCATTTTGAAGAGGACTCGCTGTCCACGCCGCCGCGGCCTGTGTCTATTTGAGACAGAAGGCCGCCTGCCCAACAGCGGCCGCTGTTGGTTTGGGACAACATTTGTTGTTGGGCATTGTACCCATGTTTCCCGTACCCATTCCGGGCGTCCAAACAACTGGAGGGTGGGGGTTGAGCGCCCGAAAGTGGCCTCGCATGTCGTGTCTAGCTCGGCCGCGGCGGCTCCCGCCGTCGCAATCCAGAAACCGACGCCAGAAACGCTGAGCGAGGCGAGAGACGAGGGCGGGCGAGGCGCTGCAGGGGTCGCACGGCCTGCTTGGCCGCCTCGTCGGCCATGCCGTTGGCCGTGCGGTCGAATCCTCGCACGCGGCCAGCCTGGAGCAGCACAAAGATGATGGCGGAAGAGGAGCAGCACATCGACGGTGGCGAGAAGCTCGGCCCCGTCAACGTCGGGGACGGGTTCGCACAATTGGCTTGCGACAACGGCATGGACACGTTGCTGAGGGGTGCCAGGGCCGTCGCCAATGGATACGATCGCCCAGCCACACACGCACAAGTCAGGAAGCTGGGGCTTCGAAAGCGGCACCGTCAACATACACATATGGACCTTCAATCGTCCCTGAGCCCCGCTCCCAGGTAACGTGCTCATCTTGGGGAGGCCGGAACGAATGGGAGGGAAGAGGCCAGAGGCACCTTTCCACGAGCAGAACAGCAGGCGGCAGGTGGCATCTCAAGCTCGGGCCACGACGAATTGCACAAGACGTGGCGGTGCCAGAGAGAGAGCCGCGCGGCGCGGCGCCTGACACCCCACTGCCGAGGAAGCATTGCCAACAGCAGCTTTGCGAAGCATGGGCCACAGCCCATTGACGATGACGCTTCGGAGGTAGGCTCCTTCGCTCACCTGGAGCGTGCGGTACACGTCAACCAGGGAGCGAGGGGGTCTACCACGGGAGATAAAGCGCCGCAGGAGGGCTAAATTGCACCCATCACGCAGATGCTCTAAGCCATCACCTGCAGCAACCTGAGACCACTGCCACGCTTCGACCGCTTGATCGACGACAAGCTTGAGAATCGAGCGTGGGCACAGCTGGGCGAAATTGACCAGCATCCCTTTGTGGGTGCGCCAAACAGGGAACTCGTGCAAAGTCAAGCACCAAAGCGCCTCCAGTCCCCTTGACCTCCTCCTCCTCCTCCTCCTCCTCCTCCTCCTCCTCCTCCTCCTCCTCCTCCTCCTCCTCCTCCTCCTCCTCCTCCTCCTCCTCCTCCTCCTCCTCCTCCTCCCCCCTCGTTCTGATCACCACCCCCTGCCTGGCCCCATCGCCAATCTGTGCGCGCGAAGCGCCACGAGCGAAGCCTGCCGGCAGCGGCCCTATTGCGTGACGGCCTTTGCCGCCACGACCGCGCCCGGGCGCGCGGGGTCAAGAGCAGCGCGCACGGCCCGCCGGGTCGAGAGTCAGGGGCAGCGTTGAGAGGGGGAAGAGGCTCGGGGGGGGGTGCATGCATCCACCCGCGGATCCCGCCGCGCCACAACGAGCACGGGGAGGAGAGGAGGAGCAGGAGGAGAAGGAGGAGCAGGAGCAGGGGCAGCAGCAGGAGCAGGATGGGGAGGAGGACGAGCTTGGAGCTGTATTCTCCGCCGACGGAAACAGAGGGGGGAGGACCAAGACTACAGACTTGTGACCGCGTGAAGCCATTAAGTACATCAAGCAATTGTTCCAGGACTGCTCCCCGGCGGGAACTCCGAGGCGGGCCCGAGGCCAGGATCCAGGTTTCAGTCGGGCCTGTCCCTCGACAGGAGGAATATTCAAAAAGGGTCCAAAAATAGTCTGGGGACTATTTTTTTACTGCTTTTGAATCTTGGGGGAGTGGTTCCCTACCTAGGCTCTGCCTAGAAGGGTCCCTACTCGGTAGCTTAAAGGGCCGGGCAGTGGGGCACGCCCCGGGCGGTTCCCCCGGCATCCGCCCCGCGGTTTCCCCAGTTACGCCCCTTGGGTTCACCCAGCTTAGCTTAGCTTAGCATAGCATAGCATATCCAAGCATAACATAGCATAGTTCAGCATAGCATAGCATAGAGCATATCATAGCATAGCATAGCATAGTATAGCGCAGCATAGCATAGCATAGCATAGCATAGCATAGCATTCCTAAATGCTCCAACTCCTAGGTAGGGTCGCACTGAGACAATGTTTGAGTATTTGTCATGTTTCTCCCAAAATTCCCCTGCAGGAGGACAGGCCCGACCTAAATCCAGGTGCCAGTCCAGGGCCCACGGTCCAAGGTCGATCCCTGGGGGCTTGGGCAACACGTGTGGGGGGTGGGGTACCTTTTGCTGAAACCGCGCGCGGTTGTTCTGAGACACTCCAAGCTCGTTCTGAAATTTCGACCCGTCTCGCCGCCACACGGAAGGCTCTGGGCGTGGTGGTTCCAAAGGTTTTGTATTGCTTCTGATGGCTTCAAGATGGCCTCCAAGACGGACAAGATGGACGAAGATGGCCTCCAAGTTCGCCCAAGATGGTCCAAGATGACCTCGAAGACGGCCCAAGAAGCTTCCAAGACGCCTCCAAGACGGCCCAAGAGACCTCCAAGAGGGCTTCCAGGAAGACCCGAAGAGGCCAAAATTATTGACTTGCCATAGGTGTTTGAAGGATTCTATAGGCTTACGCCACATCCGCCGACCCCTCTATAAACTACTGCGCCTCCAAGACTGCATTCCACGAGGCTTGTCCGAATCATGACACGGCGCTCGACATCGTTCCTGTTGCCTCGTTGCTGTTATCGTATTTTCCAGGACCCACGCTTCGTCCCGATCCGTTCCCTGGAGGCCCCCGGTGGGCTCCCGTTGGGATGCCCGTTGGGATCTCGTGGCGAGGATTCTCGCGGGCCTCTTCAAGGC